TAAAACTCTTTCTGATTTTTCTCACTTCCTCTTTATTTCCTCTTTTAAGTGACACTTCAAATATATATATTTAAATCTGAGATCATCATAGTGGCTCACTTTGAAAGTCATTTCTTCACTGTTGTCCTGATGATGTTTTCTGGTTAGAAGGCCATAGAAACATCTCTGGGATGTGGTTAGGATAGTTCCTACATCTTGGTGAGAGTGTAGGAGCAGTATGGGAAGGGGCAGACTTTGGGGACAGGAAACATTTAAAACTGTTACTAATCATGGAGTGACATTTTAAAAAATCAAATGGCAGAGGCCATGGCACGTGTTGAAATGCTTGATCTGTGAGTCTTTCATGGAAATTTTCTGAGCCCTGGTGAATTGTGAAATGAACAGGCCTTCACGGGACTGAATGAACATTTTCAACGTACTCTGCTAGTGCCAGGGTCTTCTGTTCCATGTATTTTATCTCACTTATAACAGATCTTCCCCGTTGATAGCCACCCTTTCTTGAGCGAAAGCTTCCCCTTTGGGGAGGAAAAATTCCAGGTTTGCTTTCATTTGGATCTTACCCGATATAATTGCCCCTTGTATGGTTCTGGGGTCCCCTTGTTTTATTCTTTGACCGGTTGTGACACTTAAGCAGTGACTTTGCAAAATTTGGCTTGTCAGTAAGAAAAAGTACTCTTCTCACCCTAAAGATTGACAGGAACATGAGATGGCAGAAGTTGTCCTGGCCTTTTTCTGGCAAGAGCACATAGGACAAGAAATACTCTGGAGAGCGCAACATTGAATCACACCATGTCTCAGTGCATGACTGGGTGCCTTAATCTCGCGGTTGGAGTCGCTCGGGAAAATTGTTGGCGGAGGGACTGGGGAGCCTGACAAAGTTAAAACCTGCAGTGTATTAATGTGTTAGTAGCAGGCATGGGGAGAAGAAGAATGGAAGAGAAAAATTAAGGTGAAAATAGCGATAGGTTCACAAATACTCCATTTCAGGTTGTTATCAGCCTGTTGTCTCTGGCTGGACTCACGGCCAAGTAGCTAAACCTGAGTAAGTTTTCCGATGGATGGGGAATACATGTAAATCCATGGCTGATTCATGTCAATGTATGACAAAAACCACTACAATATTGTAAAGTAATTAGCCTCCAACTAATAAAAATAAATGAAAAAAAAAAAACTATGGTAAAGGGAGAAGGATCATCACAAGCCAAGCAATGAGTGACGAACTCCCAAGGTGTGGGCCAACTGGGTCACTGAATTCACCATGTTTGACTCTTACGTTGCACCCCTTTGAACTTTGGAAGTTTGATCCTCCCAGAGTTGTTTGTGAGGTAGAGATTCTGAGGTTTGATTGCAGGGTGAGAATCCTCATGAACGTGATTCCACCTGACCTTACCCTCATCCCTATTTCTCTCTCAGCTTGACATGTGGGATCCCATTAAAGGGGCTTAGTTGTTGACATCTCAGAAGAACCTTGTTATAAAGCTCCACTCTTCCCCACAGTGGCTCTGCCTCCCAAGTGCCCCATTGATTCCCTGATCACCCAGAATCATGAATGACCTCAGCAGGGCGGTGGCCTCTCCCCATCCAATGCACCTAAGCTGTCCTTTCAGTCCTGTGCCAGTGTCCCTTTCAGCTCTCCTCTCCACGCCCACTGCCCAGGGTGCCTTCATGAAGGTCATCCTCCTGACATCTCGGGGGAACCACCGTTCTCTGTCAGAGCCCCTCCCTGCTTCTGGAGTGAGTGAGTGAGTGAGGAAGTGAGGTGGTGTGTACTATGGCTGCCTTGTCTATACACTCCCGCCCACTCTGGACTGCATCCTGCCTCTGGAGCCGGCCTCACTCTTCTCATACCTTTGCTCACACTGTCCCCTTTCTTGGAATGCCCCCTCCCCTGCTCTGGGTGCTGCAGTCTCCCCCATTCTTCAGGGACCAGGGCACATATCATCACAGCCATCTAGCCTTGTCCAGTCCCCTGAACCCGATGTGATCTCTGACTGTGATAAATCTTGATACCACTTTTCCATCTGTCTTGTACTCAGCACGCCATGCCTTGCCTGCTAGTCATCTGTATGTTGATCTTGGTACACTGCAAAGGAAGGGCTGTCCCTCATTCTTTGTGACCAGCAAAATATCTTGCACTGCACAGTGAGACATGTGTTCAGGAAGTGTTATAAAATCAATGAATGGATGAGGTGGTGTTATCTACAGCTGGAGCCAAAGGTAGTTTAAATGTAAATGAAAAGTGGTTGGATGACAGGAGTGTGTAGCTAACCTGAAATGGTTCTTGGGTTCTCCTATGAGAGGAGACTTAGACATTGTGATGCCCAACACTCACCAAAAAATCATCCTGATGTTTGCTGGAGCAGGAGAGGCTGAAAGGCCTGAAACATGGCCTTCAGATGCTAAAGAGATTTGTTCATCAAACACCAACCAGCTCCACCAACAGTTCATGAAGTTGCTTTGTAAACACTGCAGTGATTGTTAAGGATGTTGGCACACATCATGCTGTTAATATGTAACAAAGGTGGCTCAGACGCTGAGTAACTGTAAAGGTTTCTGAACCACTGAACCACTGGTTCTTCTTACTGAGAAATTGATTTTCACTCAGCAAAAGGCTTTCTATGTTTTGGTTTTGTGAAAGTTGTAGCTTTGTGACTTGAGGACATGGGCAGTGGGGACAGATGTCAAAGCAGATGGTGGTCATACCTCATGAATTTTTTAAGGCAAGAGTTCACCTTCTTGGTGTAAACTGCAACATAATGCCGTTGTCATTGCCCCAGTTCCCAGCTCACTCTGGCTTGTTGGAGTTGACTAATTAATGAATGTTCAGAAAGCAGTTCTCTTGCTTCTGTGTTTTCTCTTGTGTTTCAGGCAAAAGAGATTTAGGTGTATTTGCTTATTTTATATGGCTCTTGGTCTGTCTGTATTGTGTTGCCACCTTTGATGAGGACCAGGCAGATAAAGGAATTACTCTTCTTGCTCAAGGTCCTGGGGGCCCAGTGTCTGGGTCACTGAGCTTATTGTTCAGAGCAAGCCAGACAGACATTTAAAAATACCTTAGCTTTACCTAAAAATACACCTCACTAAAATTGAAAATTTAGGGTTAGTAAAGGTTAATCATCTGATAAAATAAGAACATTTCCTCTGAGTGAAAAGTTTGAGTTTGTATTACGGGTGCGGCATAGTTCAGCCTGCCCAGTCTCCCTGCCAGAATGCAATCAGCTGAGATAAGAAGGAGGCTGTGGAGGCATGGCGGGAGGGCAATGTCACTTCCCCTCTTTCCCCAGGCTTTTTTTTTTTTTTGACACTAATGTGTAATAAAGCTGCCTGTACCATCTGGGACTTTATTGTTATGTCATTTGACAGCCAACTAGGAATTATTGGTAGTTTTTGTTAACTTTTAGAAAAACTTCTCTTTAAATATTGGAAGAACATAGTGAAGTGAAGTCGCTCAATCGTGTCTGACTCTTTGCAACCCCATGGACTGTAGCCCACCAGGCTTCTCAGTCCATGGAATTTTCCAGGCAAGAGTACTGGAGTGGGTTGCCATTTACTTCTCCAGGGGATCTTCCCATAAGAACCACAAAACCCATTGGTTTATTCGTCATGAAGCATGTATTGCTTACCTGTGGGATCGGGGAACAGGAAGCCAAGTAAAGCATGACCCTGGCCCTTTGGCCTGTGGGGCGGAAGGGGGGATGCATGAATAGAGTGAAACCAGTGACAAGCACTAGATGAGACATGGCATGACCCAGAGTGAAGGTTGTCTCCTTTTCTTAAACTTCAGTGGCCAAGGCCACTTTTTATAAATCCAGGTGGGACTACATCTCCGTTTCATATGTGCCTTGATTAATGCTTCTCATGTCTTTAAATTCACTTTTTCAACACACATCTTTCATGCGGAGCAAATTGGGGAAGAGAGTAGGGAGAGTGGGGTGGGGAGCATGGTTGCTCTTTTAAACAGGGTGGCCAAAGAAGATGGCACTGCAAAAGTGCCTTGGAGCAAAGCCTTAAAGGAAGCAAGGAGCAGCCATGAGAGGCTCTGTGCTGAGGGAATGGCTGGGGGGACCTGAGGTGAGGTGTGTCTGGAGGGCGTGAGGCTGAGGGGGGCAGGGATGAGGCCAGAGAAGGGTCAGGACAGAGGTGGGGGACGGACTCACAGACCGTCCTTAGGACCTCGGCTCCTCCTGGAGCTCCATCCCAATGACCAGCCTCCAGCCAGCGGATGGCCTTTGAAGCCATTAGAGCATGTTAGGATGCCATGTCTTTGTCCCTATTTCTACTTTTACTGTCCCTGACAGTGAAAAGCAAGAGATTTTGTTTATGGGACAGTGTCTCTTCCTTGGCGTCCATAGTAGGTATATATGCGTGTATGCCGCTCCCTCCTGCCCCACACTGACACTAAGGAGATACATGGCTAGAATTGCCCTCTTCAGTATTCTGCTGATCTCTGGTGCAGACCAAGGAGGACAGAGATAATGCCCTTTATCTGTATATTCTTCATGTCTAATTCCTTTTAATTACACTGGTAGCATAAGTTTATCTCTTATAGTTACTTTTATCATTAACAGCACAAAACCTCTCCAGAAGACCAAATGCAAGCTCTTTAGGCATATAAAGTGGATTAATGAGGGTGGCTCAGCGTTAAGGTATGCCAGGGCTGAGTCCAAATTTTATTCCGGTACAGGGATCACTTTCTATGTGGCCTTTCTGGCTCTGGAGCTAATTTGGATGCTGAGTAGCCCCACAGGTATTTATATGTAGTGTTTGGTATTTTTACTGGGTCCTATTCTTCTCCCTTGGATCACCTAAAATGGTTAAGAATTTTCTAGTGGGATTAAGGTTGTGATCTCTGGGGAGGGGTGGGCCATCTGCTCTTGGTTATTTTTGTGTTAGCCACTTCCCCTTAAATGTATGTTCACAACTGAGCCGCAGCCTTATCAGCTGAGCTCGAGGGAAGACTGGCGTAGGTGCTGCTCCAGCCTGAACTTGGTCTCTGAGCCATGGCTTCCCATAGACACTCAGGTAAAAGCTTCATATTCTTTATTTTCTAGCAAGCACAGTTTTATTCAGGCACTGAATCCATCATTGGCCTGAAAGATACTTTTCGATGAAATTATTTTAGTCTTGTCTAAATAGTAAATAAGTCTAACTCATCTCTGTTCTGTCCGTGCCTTCTTCAACTGCTGTTTCCACAACAAAAGATTATTCTTACTCAAGTGAAATCATCAGTTTGAGTTGTTTATTTTTTAATATATAAATATACTACTATATCGTACAGTTTCCAGGACATCTTATGAAGCTGGAGGAGACTGTGTAAGGAAAGAGATTTTCTTTGTTATTAGGATTTTTTTATTGTTATTTATAAGATACAAATCTTCATCTTGACAGTGCTATAAATCGAATTTAAAGTATTTGGAAAAGGTCAATCAAATACGGAGCTGGAAGGAGGAAGATTTATAACTAAGAAAGTCCATACTGACTTAACCATACCTTCTCCTTTTCTGAGCTGTGTTTTGAGTTTTCCTGAAAAAACAGCTATGATACTTTTGATATGACACATAGATTATTAATTGTTCTCATCAGAAAAGGGGTCAAAGCTTCCGAACCTCTGGAGCATCATTATCATTACCATGAGATTTTTCCTGACATTGAGAAAGCCCTTTGGCCATGGACAAGACTCCCAAGATAGGGCCAAAGGCCTGAAGGATGGCCAGTTTCCCCCAGAAAGCCCAGTTTTCTGGAGTTAGCCTGCTGCCTCTCTCTCCTGCAAAGCCAGAAATGTCGCTGTGTTTCTGTTGCCTTCTGCCTAAGTAACAGTTCCCTTTCTTAGCAACCAGACACTTCGTGCCATCTCCCAGCTTTCAGATTAAGGGCCAAAGTAATTATCAGTGGCAGTCTTTTGGAAAAAAATGTTTTTGAAAACTTGTAATTGACTGTCAATATTTAAACAATGGAAAAACTTTTAAACTTCTGGTATTTTAAAACAAATACACTATAATGGAATGCACTGCTTTAGTGAATCAGTATGCAATGTCTTCCTTGTTCCCAAGTGTTCAAGAGCAGTCTTTTTCCCCCCACCCTCAGGAGCCACTTTGCAAACATGGCACCACACGCCTGAGATTGTGGTAATCCGCCAGCATACACTTTCTTTGCATGTAGACAAACTAGCCAGTTGTAGCAGTTGTTCCAATGGACCTTGAACGTGTGTTAACTGGTAGAGTAACTCCCTGTTTTACTTACCAATTAAATGACAGAATAGGGAAATATATTTCAAAGGTGACACGTTTATAACACACCCAACCTTGAGTTTTTAAATGGCACCAAATCCTGACCAAATTACTTTTATGTAAATCTGTAGGCTCTGACTGACTAGACAAAACTACTGACACCGTCTAGATGATTTTTGAAATCAGGAACTATTTTAATAGTTGATGTTAATCAGAACTCATCTTCTGTTGCATTAGGTTCATAGGTCCATGAAAGCAGTTGAGAAAGAAGTGCTCGCAGAAAGAAGCCCCCTAGTGCCCTGTGAAGGACTCTGTGGGGACAGAGTAGAGGCTCTGCTGATTGGATGGGTCATAATCCATTTTTAGGAACCATCCACATACTGAGGGGACCTTTCAAGGACAAGAACTGATGCTTTTGTATTGAATACTTACCGTTTGCAAAGTTCTGCAGATTTCATTCCTTCCCCCCGCCCCACCCCGGCTTTTAAAGCTGAGGATGGGGCAGATGGGAGGACAGTAAAATCATGTAGCTCTCTCTCCAGGCCAGAATGTAAAGGGGACAGTGGGCAAGGGGAGAAGACCCAGTGGACTGGCTTCCGGAAATCACAGAAAAGTGGTAGTCAGAAACCTGGAGAAGGCAATGGCACCCCACTCCAGTACTCTGGCCTGGAAAATCCCATGGATGGAGGAGCCTGGTAGACTGCAGTCCGTGGGGTCGCTAGGAGTCAGACACGATTGAGCGACTTCACTTTCACTTTTCACTTTCATGCACTGGAGAAGGAAATGGCAACCCACTCCAGTATTCTTGCCTGGAGAATCCCAGGGATGGGGGAGCCTGGTGGGCTGCCGTCTATAGGGTTGCACAGAGTCGGACATGACTGAAGTGATGTAGCAGCAGCAGCAGAAACCTTGTTCAAGGGTAAAACTGAATGTTTTGTACTTTCAATGACTACCAAATGACCGCTTGCTACTTTGCCACAACTAGAGAAACGGAAAACACACGTTCTGTTGGCTGCCAGGTCAGTGGGCCTTTCTCTCCGGTGTGAAAGGCAGAACGTGCTGCACATATTGTGTGCAACGTTCAGAAAAGCTCTCTGTCAGAACAGAGCAATTCTGGGAGAGGATCTGCCCAGGGGAAGTTCAGGGGCATGGAATGTTTCATTGGATCATCTCTACGTAGCCCCCTCCTGATCCCAGGTGTCATCTAATGACCAATGAGCCGAAAGAGAAATTGCAGGCATTTTGGAAGCCTCCTGAACAAGGTCTGTTTGTAGGGCAAAAATGACTTTCTAATTTTCTGTGAAATTCTCTGAAAGCCCACTTTTCAATGGTGACTCATGAGCCCCCCATGTGGGGTGGCATCTCCAGGTGTGCGGGTGTGGCTGCTGCATAAGCCTCCCTTTCATCAGCTGAGGCTTTGCTCTGCTGAATGTTCTCAGGAAAGCAGTCTACCCTTTCTTTAGAACCCAGCATTTATACATGGAGTGACTAATGTCCTGGTATGTTGGACTTAGCAATTAACAGACCAGAAATAACCTACATTTTTTTCCCATTTGAGTTGCTGTTCATTGTTTATACTGTACATTATGCCACTCATGGAAAGCACATAGTTAGAAAAATGCTACCTAGTCATAATATTCACTTTTTCCTTAGATATTCTTATTGTGAGCAACTTGGGCAGGAGGGGGAAAATGAAGATTAGCAAGAAGTCCCTGAGAGAATATGTATAAAACAGAAACAAGATTATTAAATACAAATTGTATCTTCTCCAATGAGAGGTTTATAGTAAACAAATGTTGTGTAATGTTGTATTTCTTGTATGTGTACATGATTAAATTGAAAGCCAAAACTTTTTATTGAGATACTGAGGTTTATATAGGGCCCTCTTAGCCTGTTGGATATAGTTCAGGAATTTTCTGAAAGAGGAAGCTTGTTTATTAAGTGAAAAATGATGTGTCTTTTGAAGCAGGCATAGTGAGAAAGTCAGGCTACCATCTTGGAATAAATACTAAAATTTAATCACCTAGTCACATTTCCAGCTGCATTCCAAGTGGCTAAGTCTATAAAGGACTGTCACCTAGACATCAGCACCTTAGAGTCCTATGAGCAGTCCCCTGATTTTCTAAAACAGAAATAGTTGTTATTAAATGTTTTTAATAAAAGAGGTTTTAAAAGCTAACAGTGATAACTCACCTCCACCTGTCAATCCATAGGCACGAACTGTGGGACCCACGTCGCCCAGGCCCTGGATCAGTTCTCCAGGGCTACTAGTGTACTTGCAAACTTTCCTGTGATAGAGGAACCTCACTAGGACACAGGAGTGAGGGCCACACTGTGAAGTAAGATTAGTCAGAGATCTCCCCTGGGGCACACATATTCTGGACAGAGACTGGCAACCTTGAAGGGAAGGATCGTTCTAATGTTATGTATCCAGTGTTTCATCTTTTGATTGATGACCTGCCCTTTCCTGATAACAGCAATAGGCCAAGGCAGAGAGATCTGGAAATTTTGGAAGGTTAAAAGGTTTTGTGTTTCACGTACTTAGAAATTGCTAAGGAGGTAGAAAATTGTTCCCTAAGAGCTAAACTCCTAAATGGATGTCATTCACTAAGATTAAAGAGGAGATAAAAATGCCATCTTCACCATTTTTTCCCTCTATTCTCTTATTTCTAGCAAAGGGGAAAAAAAGGAAAGTGTAGAGATTTTCTCTCATTGAAGTCAGATCTTCACGGTGGGTCATTTTGGTGGAGCCCACAGATCAGAGTGTTTGCTGTCTTTTAGGAACTTCTGTCTGTCTCAGCATTGTCATTTATAAGCCATTTTCTTAGAGTTGTTGATCTATTTGATGACAAGTAGTAACAATATTTTGCTCTTGTGCACATTATCCATATTTTTTGCAGAGTTCTGTTTTGGCAACTATTTCTGCAGCAGGAATGTATTACCCCCAACTTCTACCTAAGTATTCTGCATGAAGGTTTGAAATAGTTTTTGACCAAATAATCATAAAGTTAGAATAACACGAGGTAAGCTCATTCAGGTTGCCCAAGTTCAACTTATTTGGATTTATTGCAGAAAAGTACTAAAGTTCATGAATTTGACATCGACATTGTTAACATGCTTCAAGTATTTCCAGCCTATTTATGTATTAGGCAATAAAGCCCGCATTCCTAGAAGTGCCTATTTTATCTTAACAAATAAGTGTTTCCACACACATGAAAAGGGCTCAAGTCAGCTGTGGAAATTGTTCTAAAAGGGTATGCCCTTTGAAATCTGTCACTCCATCTGGATACACACTCTCTGGGTTTATGTATACTGTGGTGGAACATAGGAAATAACCCTGGACTTTTCATCCTACTGAAAGAAAAAGTAATGCCTATAGCGGGGATTAAAAAACACCAAGTGGTCAGATTTTCCTTAGTGGTACCATTAACCAGGGGTTGATCCACTGAATTTTCCTTCTGCTTGGTTTACAACCGTGTACTGTAGGTGTGAACAGTTTCACTGGCAGAGTCTGTTTTCAACATACCCTTCTTCTGCTGTGTTCATTGCTGAGTCATGGATTATGGATTAGTTAGTTCACTGGGTGCCTAGAAACTCTGAGCAAGTCATGTTCCAGAACTATGAAAATTAACCAGTGAAGAACTTGGCATTGGTAAAATAGTTATTTGAAAGTATGTAGTTTTAAGCTGGGAAGGGTTTGGCAGGTAAGATCTTATGGTACTGTGGACCACAGTGGTTTTCCTTCTCTCAAAAACCTCTACATAGAATTCACTGTGTTTTCTGGTAGTCTTTTTTGGTATGACATGAATATCTGTATTTTTACCATAAAGCTAGGACTCAGAAATACTGGGTCTGTGTATGGTACTCTGGGATATAAATATTAGAATCCATTTCTATTTTGGACAATATCAAAAGAGAATGATATATATTAAAATGAGTTGGGTTCAGACTTCTGTAGACTTTGGTAAGAGAGAAGGAGGGATCTTCAAATATGGTCCAAGAAGATAGTCTGTGAAGGACTAAATCCGCCATGGTTACTAGCCACACAGGAAGCCAGCGCTGTCTAATCTTACAAATTCTGATTTCCTGCCAAATGGCATTTAGGAGCCACTTGATAATTTAATTTCCTGGCACTTACTGTTACTGGAGATTTATTTGGTTTCTCTATGAAGCTCTTAACAAGAAAGTAAATCTTTGTTGAGTGTACAATTTCAATATGGAAAAGCTAATAAGACAAGGATTTTATGTGGCATGTGAAAGGCCAACAAGAATGAATTAAGGAGAGTGATTGTCAACATTCTATCCCTGTGACAGGCACTCTGGCCCATGTACACAGGGGCTGAAGACAGTTTAAAAGCTCCCTTAAGTATGCAGTGTGTAGTTCAAGGAGATAGACCTGGCTTCATCGCAGCTCTGCTTTTCTTTTCTAACCCACTTATGGGGGGGGGCACCCCAGTTTTCTTTTGGGGGCAAAGTACCAGTAAGAACTTTTCTCGGGTCTCAAATCTCTGAACTGTGACACAACTGTCCCAAGCCCCTGTCGTCACAGAAGAATGTCATTCCTTGTCTTCAGTTGTCGGTGTCTGGAGAGGAGGGTCTGTCTGTGGGAGCTGGAACTTGATGGAGTCGGTGGGGGGTGGGGGAGGCGAGCACCCGCCCTTGTCTGGAGGCTGCTGGTTCTGAGTGAGAGTTCACCGCCTTCCCTGGCGCTGCTCAGACACAGGGTGTGGTTTCCTTAGCTCACTCTGCTGTTTGGTTGCCTGCGGCAACAGGATCCAAACAACGTGGACATGTGTTTGTATTAAAAAAAAAAAAAAAGAAACTGGGAATGGGACCCAGAGTTGGAGTCCGGGGCTGTTCAGTTAGCGGAAGAGCTACGGTGAGTACCAGGCAAGTGCTCGTTCCTCTTCCCTCCTTTCTCTCTAAATTACTCCTGGGATGTTCGCTCACACAATAACCATGTTTGTGGGTAGCTGGAGAAAATAGTGTCTGTTTTTGTGTTTCCTGGGCAAATTAAATAATCATTGTCTATTTAGCAGTGTAAATTTCTTTTTCAGGGAGAGAGGAAGAAATTAGCATATGCTTTCAAAAGTTGGGAGCTTATATAAACTCACATTTGTTACCTTTTAAGTAGCAGGATTCAGAGTGATTTTTATGGGCTGTGACTTTGGGGTGGGGAGGGGGCAAGGGGAGTTGTTCATAGGAACAAAGTGGAAGGGGTTCTTGGAATAATCAACTTAAAACCTTTTAAAAGTCATTTTTTGCCCAGATTATACTTTACAGTTGCAATTTTTTTTAAAAAAGCAAATGTTCTAAATCATATAGGTTATTAACCATATTGATCTTCAGATGCTCTAACGAAGGGGAATTTGATTTTGGCTCATCTCAAAACCAAACGTCACTGTGACAAATAGTTTTCAATTGCCAAACTGGCTGGTACCTATGGAGAGTGCCATTTTAATAAGTTCTCTTTTGCCTGAATGCTTGGGCTTCGAAAGCTAGTAAAGTATCTTGTAATAATTCTTTAGGATCTTTGTAGGGATTAAAAAGCGCTCTGGCAGGTTTAAAATAAATGCAGACATTTAAAATAAATGACTAAGTATTGCTTCCATGCCTAGCAATGGTCCAGAGTCAGCAGTAAGTTTTTGTTCAAATGAACTGAACTTTGCAGCCAGGAGGAGAGCGGGGCCTCCAGACGATACACTCGGTGCTGAGAAAGTCGGGGAGGGTAGTGGGGCTCCTGGTTGGGTCTCTAGTGAGGGTCTGGGCACCTCCTTCCTGTGAAGGGGGAGCCCACGAGCTGCCACCTGCTGACTCGACCCAGAGCAGCATGTCCTTTGGTGTAGACCAGCCTCCCCACTCCAGCCTGCCCCATCCCAGCCCTGCCCTCGCTTACCAACCGCCCCCCACACCCCACCGCTTCAGGGTGCCAGGGACTCATGGCAGGATGCTTTTGTCTCGGGTGTCTTGGTGAGGTGCCTGTTGCCTGGGTCCCAGGGTGGCCTCCCTGGAGCCCCTCAGGCACACTCCAGCCTAACCCTTGGCTCTTTGTCCCTCCTGTTCACCCGCCACAGGTCCTTCCAGCTATAAAGTAGGCACCATGGCTGAGAAGTTCGACTGCCACTACTGCAGGGACAACCTGCAGGGGAAGAAGTACGTGCAGAAGGACGGCCACCACTGCTGCCTCAAGTGCTTCGACAAGTTCTGCGCCAACACGTGTGTGGAGTGCCGCAAGCCCATCGGCGCCGACTCCAAGGTAGTGGCGGCTGTGGGGGGCGGGCGGGATGGGCCGGGGGGATGTGGATGGGGCCCTGGCCCTTCTGCTTGGGCTCTGGGCAGGGAGGCGGGGGGACTGTGTGGTCGTTGTGGGGAGGTCTTGCTCACCGTGCCCGGCCACCGCTCGGTTCCCAGGAGGTGCACTACAAGAACCGCTACTGGCACGACACCTGCTTCCGCTGCTCCAAGTGCCTCCAGCCCTTGGCCAGTGAGACCTTCGTGGCCAAGGACAACAAGATCCTGTGCAACAAGTGCACCACTCGGGAGGACAACCCCAAGTGCAAGGGCTGCTTCAAGCCCATCGTAGCAGGTACCAGCCACACTCAGCCCCGGGGCAGCCAGGGAGGAGGCCCTGAGGGCAGACGTGGCGAGGGGTTGCTTGCGGGGATGGGGCTGGAGCCGCGGGGAGCCGCCGCTGGAGTTCAGCGTATATATGCACGCATATATATACCTGAATATATGTGTACACATATATGCTTGCACACACGCACACACCTGGCAGCTAAAAGAACACTGGAGAGAACTGTCTGTGGCAAGAGAAGGAAGTGAAAAGTATGTAGCGCTTTCTCATTTGGGATAGTAAGTGATCGAAGCATGCTTCTTCCTTAGGGTGTACTTCTGGGTCACATTGCATCTCTGCATCCACAAAAGCCATGGGGGTGGGGGAGTGGGGATTCAGGCATCTGACCCTAAATCACCACAGCCGGGGTTCCCTTCCTGACAGAGTCTGGGTGGGCATGACTACATGGAGGACGTGGTGGAGAACTCCCCGTGGGTAGGTGAATGGAAGCATGGGGCCCAAGCACTGCAGGGCCTGCATTCCATCCACTCTGGAGGGCCCAGGTGGCACCCCGAGCGGATGCAGCCCCCTGCAGGGCACTGCCAGTGGCTACCCCTTCGCTTCCCCCCACCCCACAGGAGATCAGAACGTGGAGTACAAGGGCACTGTCTGGCACAAAGACTGCTTCACCTGCAGCAACTGCAAGCAAGTCATCGGGACAGGAAGCTTCTTCCCTAAAGGGGAGGACTTCTACTGCGTGACTTGCCACGAGGCCAAGTTTGCCAAGCACTGCGTGAAGTGCAACAAGGTACGTGTCAAGGGAGTTCTAGCAGTGTTTGACAGTTTGCAGAGCACTTGCACACACACTATCCCATTCCATCCTCACGACAGCCCTGTGACGTAGGAATTATCATTCTCGTTTTACAGATGAGGAGACTGTGGTAGTAGAAAGCAGCGCCCAGGCCAAGGCAGGCTGTTCAAGGGCACACTGGCTCTGGAGGCCGGCCTCCTGCACCCAGTTGCTATGTAGTAACCTTGCACAGGGGCTCATCTTCTCTGAGCCTCAGTGTCTTCATCTGTAACTGGGGGATAATAATAGCACCTGCCTCCCATGGCCGTTGTGGTGATTTAATGAGATACTGTAGACCAGAGCGCCCAGCACAGTGCCTGGCACGTAGTAGGCATTCAACCTAATGGTTGTTGAATCTGAATCCGGTGCTACACTCCCTGGTCTAGGCCATCACATCTGGAGGAATCACTTACCAGGATCAGCCCTGGCATGCCGAGTGCTTTGTGTGTGTTACCTGCTCTAAGAAGCTGGCTGGGCAGCGTTTCACCGCTGTGGAGGACCAGTATTACTGCGTGGATTGCTACAAGAACTTTGTGGCCAAGAAGTGTGCTGGATGCAAGAACCCAATCACTGGTAGGCTAAAGAGTCCTTGCTAAGTCTGCCAGGCTAGGTTTTGCGCATGGTAACCATCTCTCATTTTCCTACGTCGTCGGTTTCATCCACAAAGGCCCCAAAGAATGCCCTTCTCCCCCTGCCATTGTGGTCCCGAAGGCCCCCAAGTAGTTTGGATTCTCCCCCAGGCCAGGTTAGCCTTTGCAACACAGAACACTTCTGACTACTGCCGACTAACTTACGCCGCTGCTGGAGATCATGAGCCTGAGACCCACGGCCACGGGCAGGCACTGCACAGGGGGGGGTACTGGGGGGAGGGGTGGGGGAGAGGAGCACGGTGGGCTTGGGTGGGGGGGGGGAGGGGGGGAGGCCGGACAGCGAGAAGCTGGGATGAGACCACCCCCCGTAGCGGAAGGCTAGCTCAGAGGTGCCGGTGGGCAGTTCTTTTGCGATCAGGAGCCAAGCTAATCACTTCATTCCTCATCTCGCGGCCGCGGTCCACGTGCCCTGGGCCCTCTCCCCCCGCCTTCAATTTTCCCGTCTCCCGGGGAGCCTTGAAATGTACATTTGAGAAGACTTTTGCCATCCTCAGGGAAAAGGACTGTGTCAAGAGTGAGCCACCCAGTCTCTAAAGCTAGGAAGCCCCCAGTGTGCCACGGGAAACGCTTGCCTCTCACCCTGTTTCCCAGCGCCAACCTCCGGGGCAGGCATCCGGGTGGAGAGAGGACTTGTCCCTCGTGGGTGGTGGTTCTTTATAGAAAAAATCGAAGCTTAGCAGCTCCTCGAGGCCCGGTAAGTGCACACCCCACAAACAGCCCAAGTTTGCCTCCTGGTGGCCACTTTGATGCCATGGCCCTGACCTAAATCAAAGAAACTGGTTGTGCTGGGAGGTCGGTGCGCGTCAGTCACAGGGCGATGGCGGTGGCTGGGGATGTGGGTTCTGGAGAGCAGGGGTGCCTCGGCGGAGCTCTGGCATCTTCTCAGGTCCCGGCAGTGTGGGGGACAGTGCGCGGTGGAGCGGGGGGCCAGGCACTGGGCAGACGCAGCCTGCGTGCTTGTCGGCTCCATGAATGGGCAAAGGCGGTGGCCTGGCTGCCACCTGTGTCCACTCAGCTGTCGTTCTTGTTCGCTTTTGTTTCCTCCACAGGGTTTGGTAAAGGCTCCAGTGTGGTGGCCTATGAAGGACAATCCTGGCACGACTACTGCTTCCACTGCAAAAAATGCTCCGTGAATCTGGCCAACAAGCGCTTTGTTTTCCACCAGGAGCAAGTGTATTGCCCCGACTGTGCCAAAAAGCTGTAAAGTGACAGGGGCTCCTGTCCTGTAAAATGGAATTTGAGTCTTGTTCCTTGTGTCCTTGCCCTCTGCCCAACACCACCCATAGGGCAAGAGTGGCCTTTCACCTCTTCAGAGTTGCTCCTTCTGTCTTTTCTCCCATTTTACAGTTATTACTTGAGTTAAGGGCACACAGTGATCATATTACGATTTAGCAAAAAGCAAGCCTGCAGCAAAGTTTATTTCTCCAAAGCTGCAATTAGGAAACAAATACTTAGGTAGATTGATTCTTCTGCATGTTTATCATAGAGCAGGAAAGCGCTGACCATGTAGCTGCTTAGTGATATAAGCAAGAAGCCTAAGAGTTAAAACCCCACTGAGATACCTCGTGGCTCAGCTGGGACCCACATTATCATCACACGACACAAGAGTTGCAGCGGCTGCTCCAACTCAGCTGCTCACCCTGTTCTGTGAGCAGAAAGAACTTACTGAAATGCATGGTTTAAATAGCTTCCTCATCAGAACCTTCCTTCTGTTTTTTGTGCTTTCAAATAACTAATCCGAATTTCCAAAAAATTAACATTTGAATTTAGCTGTAATTCTCAACTGACCTTTTCCCCTGTACTAATGTTTGATTTCCCCATGTGGCGTGTTTTCTGAGCGTTCCTACTTTCAAGCATGGAACGTACAGGTGATTTGGAAAGTGTAGGCAGATCTGAGAAAACGAGCCTGTTTCAGAAGAACGTCATCACAGCGAATACTTTTGGAAGCTTAACAAAACTAACCCAGCTGTCCTTTTATCTTTTTTTAATTAATAATTCCTTTGTTTTAATTAATAGCAACATAGTTTATGGGTTTGGAGACTTGCATGAGAATATTTTAGCCCCCTTTATATGTTCCTACAGTTTTGAATTCATCCTACGAAGTAATCATAAAACTCAAGAGGGGTAGGTGAGCAGGCGCCAGAACTATCATTGACACGGATATGACATTTCCCAGCAGTGACGAGTGGAATCCCTTGTAACATAGTACTTGTCTGCTGTGTGTCCGTGTGTTAAACAGGCCCGCCAATTCCCTTCTCTTGTGATTCTGAGGACTGTTCCTCCAGAGCTTAGCTGGCTCCAGGGGAGCATGGAGGACATTGTGCCCATAGGCAGAACCAGAGTTCCACGTAGTGCTTACCTGAGTCGCAGGATCCCCTATTTACTGTATTCTAGCTACATTGTTATATTACATAGTATAATGAGACAATATCAAGAGTACACATGTAATGACAATGCATACTAACATTCTCATAGGAGTGGTTAGAGAAGCCGATGCCTCATTTCTACATTTTGTCATTAGCAATGATCATCTAACAGTTCCGTGTATCCTTACAGAAATAAAGCAGCATATAAATAACCTGCCTCCTGACTTCTTATTCTGCCTGGTGGAATTGTTCTAAGGTGATACCACAGATCCAGAAACCTGAATGACTACACGAATTATAAACAAGATAAAAGAAACCCATAACAGCACTTGGATCCAGTTAAGAACAATAACAACGAAAAACCCCACTCTGACCCAAAATAACGTTTCCCAGATGTTGATCACCCTTAAAAGAGCACATTGCTTTCCATTGGCCAGGGGTCGGCCAAGAAGGGAACTGCAGCTGAAGTGTGTTGAGAAGTCATCCTGTCTATGTTCTGACTGCCCTTCCCTGTGCCATGTGGAGCCCTGCTGTGCCTCAGCGGCCACTTCTCCACTGCCAGGCCTTCAGAAGAAGGTGATCTTGCTCAAGGACACCAGTCATTTGGGAGGCTGCCCATTGGGGCCCCTCCATCTCAGGGGTGGGGGATATGGAGATGGTGTGGACAGAGGTGGAGGTAGCTTCTAGATATGGCTCACGGCCACACCCCTGAGGCTCAGGTTCTTGGGGCACCCAACCTGCCCACACCACATAATCGTTTCAGGATGGTGCTGGAGGCCCAGTGCCACAGGTGTCTGCTGCAGGCTCCTCAGGTGGAAGGACATTTCAGCTAAAGGCAGAGTCAGGAGCAGAGGTCTTTCAGGAACTCTCACACCCCGGGTAATGAAAGGACAGAACGTGTTTGAAGCTAGCATTTGCCACGTTATGAATCAAGACCTGTTTGTAGCAAGTTATTTCTCTGAATGGAGAACAGCCTCTTGTGTGTTTCCCTAGAGAAATTAGCAGTTAAAATCATTAAAACTCTGTTTATGAGTCTATCGGGTCATCTCCTGGGGCCCCAAGAAGTAGGGGTGAGGTGGGGAGTTGAGATGGTGGCCCTGCTTCCCAAAGGAGCTGGGTGATGGGCAGTGGCAAGGGCTGGAGCCCAAGGGGGCCCCAGGGGGAGACCCTGACACAAGTGCCCCACCTCTGCTGCTTTGGCAGAGGGAAATCCTAGGCCTTTGCGGCACTTGGACCTGCATCTCTTTGATGGCATTCCCTCCATTCCTGTTCTGACTCTTCATCTCAGTGAACTAGTTCTTAGCCCTCCAGTCCACTGATGGCTCAATTACCTCTCTCAGCCCTTCTCCATCTTCACCTCCCCAAGATGCTACGCCCTATCATTGACCCCACCTTGCCATCCTCAATCCCGTCACCCTTTGCTTCCCATCCCACTCGGCATGCAAAACCCCGGCCTATGCCAGGGCTAAAGAGCTCTACGGAGAAAAAGCTGTATGACTAGACTGCACAACCCTGCCTGAGATCACCTATAGCCCCCTCCACACTTCCCGCCATTCCCAGGCTCCACCTGTGTCCCCCAGCAACAGGCCTGCCAGCATTGGGCCCCTAGATATTGCCTAACACTTTAAAAGCACCTTGTACAATTATACTAACTCTTCACAGCCAACACCGGCACTAGTGCCCCAATTTCCCAAATGAGAAGACTGAAGGTCACACACACTGGGCACACCTCTAGTCCAGGCTTTAAGGTTTATGACACTGCCTTGTCATAGGGGGAGAACCCTGTCTGTCTACCACATCACAATGAGGGAAGCATCATGCTCAGTGCTCAGTATTCAGTTTTAACAATGACAACCGAAGACTCAGGAGGAAGGAGGGGAAATTCTAGCTACAGAATTCTCAGCAGAGAACCCTTTTCTCCCTCACAATGAAGGGGATCAGAGTATCAAGAACGTAATCTACTTTTCGGTAACAAGGTAAATTCTGCAGCCATACTGCCTGGATTCCAATCCTGGCTGCATTGCCACTTCCTAAGTATGAGACCTTGAGCAGGTCACCCAACCTCTCTGAGCTGGCTTCCTTGCCTGTAAAACAAGACAGAATTCCTACCTTGCAGAATCACATGCACATTACATGATTATACAAATGCTTATTTATTAAGCATGGCAACCGACTGGCATGCAAGAAAAGCAACATCCAAGAATACCATTCAACAAACATTAGCAATTATTTTTATCTCTAGCACCAAAGATAGTATATTACCCACCACAAAAACCAAAAGACTTTAGAATCAGACTTGAATTTGAGCACCAGATCTTTCTAGTTGTATAACCTTGAACAAATACCCACCTCCACAAATCTGTCCTAGGTAAAAATGAATACCCACACTTCACAGGGTTGTTGTGAGGGTTTAAAATGATGCCTCTAAAGTACCTGGCATATAGAACATGTAACTACGGTTATTACAACAGTCTGAGAAATTATGAGACAAGCCTATCCAGGAACACTCAGAAGTAGGCTGGTGGGGAGGGAGACCGAGGTCAAGGGGTCTGCAACCAATCAGGCCTGTGGGACAGTGGGGGCAGAGGGGGGACTATTGGATGATCCCTGATAAGACACGCTGGACAGTCTGCCTTCAGGCTTGTGCTTCCTGGCACCAGCTGCTGCTACAGTTCTATGCCCACTTTTCAACCTAGCTCCTGTCACAGTGAGTCGGTGACTCCTGAGAACTGAAGGCCCTCAGTGATTGGAACCCAGCCTCCAACTCGCCACACCAGAGGGCTCAGAGAGGTCCATGATGTGCGCCAAGTCACCTGGTGGGCTTGTGGCCACCTCAGCTGGGATTCAGGTCTTCAGACTCGTCCAGCATCCTTTCCAGTGTTTTTATTGCATTTCTGTGGTTGTTGGGGGTTGAAACTGTTGAAAGGCTTCACTGTACACTAGGGAGGCGAGAGGGGTGACACTGGGAGAGGCCAGGGGCTTATTCCTCAGGGGAGTGGGCACCAAGAGGTTCTCCAGAGAGCAAGGGTGACCGGTGTGTTCCCAGAGGACACCAGCCTATGGTAAGCGTGGAGGCCGGGTCAGTATCCAACACCTCAGAGCTGTCAGGAGGGTGCTTTACTGGTGTTTTAGGTTGTGTGCATACCAAGGAATGCCCTGGTTCAACAACCCTAGTGCATGGCCCGGCACGGAATGCCAAGTGGGGAACAGCTGCCCCTGTTCTCAAAGCACCAGATACCACAGATCAGGGATAAACAACGACCACACCTTTATCCAACACAAAACCCAGTGGAGTGGAACATGTTTCCAGAGTAGAAGCTAAAACATTTACAGGCAGATCCAAACAGTGGTTTGGCCACACACAGTAACAGTGATGTCCTGAAGTGATGTCATGTACGTGTAACAGAGCACAATGACTGCCAGAGCACACACGCAGACTGTCAAAAGCAACTGTGTTTTCCTCGTGTGTGGCCAGCACCAGATGTGAGCTTTAAAAGGGATGCACGGGGGGGAATGGGGAGTGACTGCTTAAGGGTCCTGGGTTTCTTTTTAGGGTAATGAAAACATTCTGGAACTAGATAGCAGTGACAGTTGCACGTTTTAAATGTACTAAATGCCACTTATGTAAATTTTACCACAGTAAAAAGAAAGATACTTTAATTACTGGCCTCAAATATAAGTCAGAGCCATCACAGGCAGGAGTAACAAGCACTGAAACAGGTGCAGGGAGAAAACCAGAGTTCAAAATTCACATCTTAATGTTGCATGCAGTGGCATACTGCCAAACCACCACGTGGCTGCAGAGGGGCTGGTGATTCCTATTCATCAAACGTACTGCCTGCCTGTGTTCATAGCTTGGCTGCAAGCTGGTGTCACCTTTATACCACCTTCAGTACATTTTTTGCTATTAAAATATGAAGAAAACTTGCTTTACCTGCAAAGTTTATTGCATAGAGCACACAAATGAAGGTTTAACAGTGTTTCAATGTGTAAAATTTGTGCAGAAAAATATCAGAAGCACATTTTGTTACAATGATTGTCTCTGCCTTTTATATAAAAGAGATTGTGTATATAAAGTTTTAAAATCTAAGGCACCAAGCTCTGATCTATAACAAAGATACAGTACTCTGAATAGCAAAGAACTAGGGAATCAGAAAGAATAACTACTTCCTTTTACTAATTCAAGACTGCTAGCTACAAAGGAAGACGGGCCTGCTTCAAGCTATTTGTGATCTACCAGAAAACTCATTAGCATTAGGACAACTAATCTGAATTCAAGTTTTAGTCAATCATTTAAGCATGATTCAGTGGATTTCAGGAAACATATATCCTGTGTACACGTGTGTGTATACATGTGTGCATGTCCACTGTGTATGTGCTGTGCCTATCTACAGCGGGGACCGAAGAAAAACACTGTCCCTTTACTCACTTGCAGCCAGCAGCTAGAGAAAGGCAAACAAATTTTGGTTCCACATTTCAAGCCTAAGTGTACACTGAATGGCAGGCCTAGAGAACATAAGCAGAAAAAGATTATACACAGTAAACATGTAGAGGAATTGAACATACCCCATCGGACAACAGCCAAATACTGTCTTATGTACACAATAAAAACAACATGTTTTTATAAACCTCAATATGTACTTCCAAAATGAAATGCTGACAAAAGCAGGAAAGATGGAAAAAAAAAAACCAAAACTACACCTTCTATGACTGCCAGCATTTGAAGGTACCAGTGTCTGTGCCTAGGACTGGCAGACTATGTCAGAGTTAGAAACAAACATACATTAATGACAAAATGTGATTTACTGTATCTTGCAACTTTCTGTATTTTTGTATATTAAGAACAATCCAACAAAACTTGTGTGAGGAATCTTGAGACCCTTAAGACCCATTATTACATTCTCTACCAGACTGAATGTAAGTTTTTATTGCTAAATTAAAGCAATTGTTGGGGCTTCCCTAGTGGCTCAGCGGTAAAGAATCTGCCTGCCAATGCAGGAGACATGGGTTGGAAAGATTCCCTGAAGAAAGGAATGGTAACCCACTCCAGTATTCTTGCCTGGGAAATCCCATGGACAGAGGAGCCTGGTGGGCTACAGTCCATAGGGTTGGAAAGAGTCAGATACAACTTAGTGACTAAACAACAGAAACAAATGTAATTGTTAAATGCAGTAAATATGATCTCAAGATTTCAAATAGGTACTGATATAAAAACTTCTTTTGGTGTAAGATTCTCTTAGCATTTTATATATGCTTAAGAGTGAACATTTTATAAAGACACACTTGATACACAAATGTGTTGGCAGGAAAATACAAGAATGACAGACAATGGAGATTTTTACAGCAAAAAAATGACTCTTTACTCAGAACCCTTGCTTATGGGCAAGACGCAAGATGATATGAGCATCTTCTGAGATACATTAAGATGATTTTTTTTTGAGAGTCATTTTCTTTGCCGGGTTCATGTAGGAAGCAGAGAAATTTTGAAAGGTGGGCCTGGAGGCCAAAATCCAGAGTGGAGAATGGATTCTCCTCTAGGCTGGACGAGGTTTACATATCTGACCAGAGGGAAAAAGAAAAGAAAGGTTTGTTAGTGAAGATGCTGGTTCCACACCAAGTGGATCCTCGCCCCACACTGAGGCCAGCCTGGGACCCTCAGTAGCAACCCCCCCCACCCCAAGTTGCTGCCATACTGGTGCTCTTATAAATGCTCCCCAACCTTTAAATGGGTTGAAGCTGCCTCTCAATTTCAAACAGAGCTTCTCAAGGAAAGAAAAACCAAGGCCTTTTGGTTTTGGAAACACAAGTTGAGGGACTAATTCCAAAAAATTCGCCAACCCTCTGTCCTAAATTGGAGAAGGCAATGGCAACACACTCCAGTATCCTTGCCTGGAGAATTCCATGTACAGAGGAGCCTGGCGGGTTATAGTCCATGGGGTTGCAAGAGTTGAACATGACTTAGCGACTACACCCCCACCCCCACCACTGCCCTAAATCTGTGTGCTGCAGAGCAGCCAGTAGATCAGGAGTGCAGAGGAGTCCACTGTTTGAAATGAACCTACTCTGTATATCTGGCATGAAATGCAGGACTTAACAATTGGTCATGTCATGAATGTTCTCAAAACTAACTTAAAGAGGGGCTCTTCAACCTAGTTTTAAACCCACCACTGTCTTCCCCCTTACCTCCAAAGTTACATGGTGCCAAGCCCTGGCACAGCTGGAAACAGAGGAGGGTTGAAGGTCAACTAACTTTCAAACAAAGTGGAAATGGGAGATGGCGTTACCTGATGGAGCAGGCACAGATTTGCTTCTGTTTTTGTTGTCTATAGGTGGCTGGTGACTCGAGCAGGATGTCACAGAGCCTCTCGGCTGGTGTTCTGGGCTCTCAGGAGGGAAACTAGACACAGGTGGTTCTGTCTCTCTTGAGAAGTCGATAATTTGGTCACACATCCACTTCTGTACCTCTGAATGTGAACTCTTGGAAGGTCCCATGGTGCTGCTGGTTTCCACCTTTCCAGTTTTTGCTGCTCGGTTGGTTGGTCTTTTGGTGGAGGATCTAGAAAGAGATATTTGGTTACAATCCTGATTATCGCCAAACCAAGGCTTTGCCTGACAGAAGCTTTATTATTTTCTTAATACACTAAAACTCAGAGGATAATTGTGGCCCACAAAATTGATGATAGAAATAACTGAAGAAGTTTAGAAGTGTTTAACCTTCAAGTCAAATTTAGTTAGATCATGAATTATCTGAGCTGTTTGGTCTCTAGGATTTTTTTTAAAAATCAGTTTCCCCTTCTGAAATGGTGGTATTTATGACAGAAACTGTGATGTCACTTTCAAGGTTATGCTATAAAATGGCTCCCAGATGTCTTTCCTCAGTGGCAAGTAACACTCTTTCAGGCAATCACCCAACGAGCCTTCCTTTCTAAGAATTTGGTCCTGTTCTTCTGACCTTACCTCTGACCCTCACCTTCCCCAAATGTACAATGAGGATTTTAATATCATACCCAGAGTTGCAATGGGAATTTAGATAGGTAAAATGTTTGTTACACTGCAGTCACTCAACGTCCCCTTCCCTGACTGTATGAGACAACACTAACCAGTGTGAATAAAAACTCAGAATGGAATCAGGTATATCTGGGTTGAGTTTACGTTCTGCCCTTGAACTGTGGGATGCTGGGTTGAATACGGCTCATAATCTCTCCATTTCTCAGTTTTCTTTCATTAAAAAATAATTTTAATTATTTTTTAGATGTGCTGGATCTCTGTTGCTACACAGGCTTTCTAGTTGTGGTGAGCAAGGGCCACGCCCTAGTAGTTGTGGCAAGTGGGGCTCATTAGTTGTGGCTTCCAGGCTCTAGAGCACAGGCTCAACAATTGTGGTGGATGGGCTGAGTCACTCCATGGCAGGTGGGGTCTTGCCAGATCAAGGACCAAACCCATGTCTCCTGCATTGGCAGGTGGACTCTTCACCACTGAGCCACCAGGGAAGCCCAGGCCTCAGTCTTTGAGTCTGTAAGGATAGGGGTGCCCATCCTTCCTGAGTTTGTTCCTACAATAGAGCACGTGACATAGTGTTTGGGGCAAACTAAGAGTTCAGTCAGTAATCCTGTGCATCATTCTAAGGATGCCAATCATAACCCCTTCCAGGTATACTCTGATGAACTCACTGAGTGACTCACCTGGTACTCTTTGTCTGATTCAAAGGGTCTTTCACTGTTTTTTGTCTGAAGGTTTTCATGTCAGTATTTAAAAATACTTTTGTCTCTTCTTTATGGATCTGGCTAGAAGTCACATCTAAAAACTTGTTAGTGTTCCTCACATTTTTAACATATGTTTTTGGTTTTGGGGATGAATCCATGCCATTTATAGTAGCTAGAGGGAAAAAAAAACAGCACCAAGATTAAAATTGGAGTTTCAACAATAAAGACAAGCAAAGTGGAGGCTGTGAGCCTGTCAGTCTGGGCAAGGGACATCTACCTGAAGACAGGAGCTGTCTGGAGGCAGGACTCTGGGGAGGCAGGGTCAGGGCAAAAGCCCACTGTGCCCTGAAAGCACAAAGGTGAGGCCACCTTTAAGGAACGTGCCCTCTCCTCTGCCAGCAAGTAATGATGGCTAGAGGGCAGGACAGCTCCGTGCTTCTTGTCCCTCTTTCTGATGATCCTCTCATTTTAGTCTCACCTCTGACCTTAACCTTTCTCAATGACCTAAGGCCCAGCCTACCCCTCTGCTGCTCCTGCTGCTCTGTTCTAGTGACATTCTAGCCTAACTTCTTTTAGTGCAGCCAGCATATGGCAGCACCACCATCTGCTCATGTCTGGCTCCCCATTGGCTGAGGTTCCTCGAGGCCCCAGTAGCTAGCAGGGTTCCCAATTCATGTCCCTGGTACCTGCTAAGGCATAAAGGGTGGACAAATTGTGTTTTCTCAAATGCCATTACTGTGGTTCATACTCACCAGGCAATGAGACTCAACAATGTACCTTAGGGGCACTCATAGAACAACAGGATCTGCATTTTCTCTCTGTAGGCCAGGGAGTGGCCTTCTACCTGTGGTCAGTCATGAATGCCACATGGGGTCCTAAACTCTGAGATGCTAGTAAGCCTCACACTGAGCTGAGAAAGAGCTGCCATCTACAGTCTCTCAGCACAAAACAAAAGAACAGGTGTCACAGCAGCTATTATTTATTGAGAGTTTACTATGTGTCAAGCACCATTCTTAGTACTACGGGACCTCACTGCAATCTCATGCCCACCCCAGGAGAACAATATTACTTCCCCTTTTTCAGACAGGAAAACTGAACAGAGAGAGGTTAAGTAACTTGCTCAAAGTCAAACAGCTCACAAGTAGAGTAATTATGGATGAACCTAGACAGTCTAGCTCCTAGATGCTGATGAATAGAATTCAAAAGGCAAGCAAACCTGATGGATGCATGTTATCAAAGGAATCATTGTCACTTTCTGATTCGTCCTCATCATCTGCCTCATCCTCCTCATACGCATCACCACTCAATGTTTCTGCAGCCTACAATGAGAGAAGAAAGTCATGATTGCATCTAACATTCAGTCATCCTGACAGTTATTTCAGAGAAGACTATTTCATGCCTGGATTGATTGCTAACTTTCGTCATTTCAATTAAAAGGTAAAAAAGAAATCTAACCTCTTTAGCCCCAAGAATCTACAGAGGACAGGACAGGTGACCCAAGTTATGTCTTTCAGCTACGGAAAGACAGCCAAAAATGAAAGACTTCCCTGAATGGGAGCCAAGGGACAACAGCTCTGGGATGGTGTAAAGGCTCTGCCTCCTTGGAGCCCTAAGCCCAGGTGGTGCCATGGCTAAAATGTTCTTGGCTGCTGCTTGAGGCAGGACTTCTCAAGTCAATGTGCTTACTACCTGCTCTCTGAGAGGGTGACTGCCGTCACTTTTCAGAAATGACATTTCTACTCTAAATTTTCATAATGATGTGAATGACCACAACTAGGCAATTTTAAATAGGCAAAATGTCAGTTTTGTAGCTCAGATGGTGAAGAACACAGAATCTGGGGATAAAAAGACCTGTTGTTTAGTTGCTAAGTTGTGTCCGACTGTTTCACAACCCCAGGACTGTAGCCTGCCAGGCTCTTCTGGCCTTGGGATTCTCCAGGTAAGAATACTGGAGTGGGTTGCCATTTCCTCCGGGAGATCTTCCTCACTCAGGGGTTGAACCCATCTCCTGCATTGGTAGGCAGATTCTTTACCAGTGAGCCACCACAGAAGCCCCGCTAAAGATCTGAGAAGCATGCAAACCATCAAAAGACAAGACGTTGGGGGGAGGGATAAACAAATACTTATGAGAGACCCTGAAAGCACTAACCATAAAAGAAAAAACAATGCTAAATTTCAGTTCATTAAAATAAGCTTCAGTTCATCAAAGGACATTATGAGAGTGTGAGGCAAACTATAGCCTGGGGGCTGATACCTGCAATACAGATATCCAAGGGGCTCAGAAGCAGAACTTGTAAACTCTCCCACAGATCAGTAGGAAAAATGCAGGTGACTGAATAGAAACAGGGGCAAAGGACTTGAAAAGACACTTCACCAAAGTGAACCAAAGTGAATCTCCAAATGGCCAATAAGGGACTCAACTCCATTAGTCATCCAAAAATACTGATAAGTTCCATGATGTGAAAAATCAAGAACATCTATGTAGCAGCAAACAGCAGTAAGAAAAGATAAGCCACAAACTGAGAGAAGGGATCTGCAATACATACAAGCAAGAAAGGAGAAGTATCTAGAACATTTAAAGAACTACCAATGAGTAAGCAAAAGATAAGTCAGCCAGAAAGTTTTGGGCAAAAGACTAAACAAGCATTCCACAGAAGAAAAAACATGAAAGCTAACTAAAGATGGGAAAATAAGCTCAACCTTTTTAATAGTCAGGGAAATGTGAAATGTTATTTCATTAGCACCAGAGACTGACAAAAATTAAAAAGTTGGCAAGAATGTAAAACAACAGGAATTCTTATACACTGCTGGTAGGAGCACAAAGACTACCTTTGAGGCATTTGAATCTGGCTTTCTCGTCCGCTTCATAATTTCCTCAATTCTCTGTTTTTTTAAAAAAATAAAATTCAAACATGAAAACAGATTAAAAACAAAACACTGGTCCTGAAGAAGTTGATTATTTCTGTGTTCCAGAAGCAGACAATACTGCTGTCTGTGCCAAAGTCAATGCAAGATGCTGGGCCAGCAGCTGGGTGGGCACTTTCCTCCAAGCCCAGTTTCATGGTCGGTCATCTAGAAAATACTCTGAATGGTGACAAGGTGTACTTGTTACCCTAACACAGAAATCCAAATGACTTCTCACCCCTGATTTTGCCAACGTGGAAATTTATTACTAGACTAAGCACGTATTATTGCAAACCAATCAGAACTTATAAACATGATTTTTGTCTAAACAGACCATGAGTGAAGCTAATGTTAATGAAAAGAATGCATCTCAACAATGCAATGCTGTCACAGGTTTTGTTACTAGAAGGAGCACACACAGGAAGGCTAAGAGTTCCCTTCTTCCCTGAAGGTAAGGAGGGCTGTAGCTCTCTGGCCTCCTCAAGGTGACTGATCTCCTGACAGAAAGGCCGGGAAGTCCCTCAGCCTGGTCTGGGGTCTTCCTTGCTCCCAGATGAGACATGTGGGTTGCACAAATTGCAGTCCAACCTTACAAAGAGCCTGCACCTTGGCCTCTCTGATAAGCCTCCACCTTCTGCTTCTTCAAGTTCAGTTGCTGCAATTTCCAGCCCAGTTTAGAAAAAACTCAAACTTCTACCAACCCCTACCATGACACAAGGGATTCGGTTCAAAGGAGCTTTGTTCCCAGCGGTTTGCTATAGAGAGACATCCCTGTGATAGTCATCAGTGGTCCACAAGGACGAGCTACGGTTATTAAGAGGAGCCCATTCTAGGGAGAAGGGGTCAGATCCTAAGATTAGAGAGTACAGAGGAAAAACAACCCCAGCTAGCATATCACTTGTCATTTTTAAAAACATAGTTTGGAATCATGTACCCAACATTGTTTTGAACAAGGAATCAAATCCCCCCAACAGAGAGGAGGCATACCTTTTTTCTTTCTAATCTCTCTTGCAGATTCTGTAACATAATCCTCTCATGCTCCTTCTTGCGTTTGTCAGCCTCCTCCTGAGCTTTTATTTTGGCGTCACTTTTCTAGGAAATTTGTATAAAAATATCACTGACTCTCAATATATCTGAATGACAACAGTGCAACAGTAAGACGTTACCCAAAATAAAATGTAACCTTTGGATTGAGAGTACTCATATATACAACATTCATGGATCATCAGTTTTCAAAGTGTTAGCAAAAATGTACAGAACTAGGCTAACTATTATGGCTAGGGATTTAGAAGGCACGTTAATCCCCTTCAGGACCTCAAGGTTGTCAGACCACTATCATTTTGAAATATGTAACAGTGTAGTCTTCCACTGACACAGATACCAGGAGCCAAGCCTTACACTTCAAAAGCACCAAGAGGATTCCTAAAGATACTTTCTCAAGGAATGCAAATGGATAGTCATTTATGAAACACATAACTGATTTTGATAAATGATACACCAAAACTTTTATATAAATTAGGCTATAATAATAAACTGAATATTGTCTGAGCTCAGTTTTGGGATTTATTTACTAGATGATTTAAACTTACACTAGTGAGACATTCTAATTGATGAATTTGCTAAGGCATTCATAATTTTCAACTGATCTGTTGGGGGGTGGCGCAGCTGTCACCACAGAATGCATGATTGGGAAAATTCACACAGGATATTTAATCTTTGTGAGCAATTTGGATTTCTTGAAGCCAACCTGTAATATTTATGTAGATAAACTAGAGGAATGCTAATCTGTAATTTGCTGCTTTCTGCTTTTGTTTCACTTAGAAAACATTCTAGGATTCTAGGAGGACTGACAGCAACACTGGGTAAAAGCTAGACCGTAATGTAAAAATGCAACCAGAGCATGCAGCATCTGGTCATTTTCTTTCTTGGATAAACAGACTTTTGCTTTGGGTTTCGACTGAATTTTACAATCTGGTTCTCAAGGAGAGCCAGCAAACCTGGAGTTCTACTTTTTGGTCTTCTTGTTCCTGACTTTCTCTCTTCTTCATCTCCTTTGGTTGTTGCCCATCTCCAAATTTTGAAAATTTGTCTTCTTGACCTTCATCCACTTTCTTTGCTACATCTTTCATTTTCCTGATGAAAATGAAATTAAATAATAATTCTTTTTATGTGCAGTTTTATAGTGAAGCTGCTTGTATATAGTAATACAATTTATATTTACACCAGATTCCCTACATTTTCTGTGTTGTTATTCCACAGGATGTGCATAATTTCACCTATTTAAATAGAGGGAACCAGCCCTTGGGAGAAGAAAAAGATTTTTATCAAGTAGTGGGCTACTTTGCATCTTAAAACACAAACGCGCACATACACACACACATATAATCACTCCTTCTTAACTGTGCTAGATGTATGCTCACACCTGATCTTACATGGGGGTGTGACAGAAGGAATGTACAGGAGGGTCTGGTGGTGCTCAGAGGAGGAAAGTCCAATCAAAATGACTGGTATTCAGGGCTTTTAAAATGTGAAACTAGCTCTGTTTACACGAACTAATAAATAATATTCTTCAAGTTATAGGGTTTTTTGCTATTCAAAATGTCTTCCTCTCCCCCCAAACCCATATAAGATACATGGAAAGGATATGAAAGTGATCCAAAAATAATAGTTAAAAACAACATCAGTTATTATTCTTTACAGGTCGTGGACAGAGGTTTACATTACAGGGTCCCAAATCAAATGGGCCTCCAGATCAAAGACCAAGAAACCTTTCAACTGAAGTAGCCCACAACTGTATATAACATTTGCAGCCCACAGGTCACTGGAAACCCAGTAAAACATAAGGAAGTATCCTTTTCAGGTTTACAAATTTTGGGGGGTAACTTTTTCATTTCAAACTTAGAAAAAAGTTTCAAGCAAAGTTGCTTTACCAGTTACTATCTCTATGTGTGTGTATATTATTTTTATGAACTGTTTAAGGACTGAATTCTGAACTGAAAAAAATTATACAAAGAATGTCACTGGTAGAAGGACACATCAAAAGGTAAACTGCTTGTGATTATGGATGACTTTATCACTTATTGTGTTTTTTAGTTTCCTATTACACATACATGTTAACTTAAGAAAGAACTGTCATTTTAAAAACCTTTAAAAAGAAGACTGTCACTGGGACAAATGGCAAATTGAATTGAATGTTGACCCTGGATTAGAAAATAATAAATTTCCTGATTTTAGTTATGAATACCCTGGTTACATCAGAGAATGCTTTTCTTCTTAGGAAGTATATAGGGAAGTATTTAGGAGGAAAGGGTCATGATGTATGCAACTTATTCATAAACAGGTTTACAAATTCTAAAGTTATAAAGGGCTTTTGAAATAAAGAAAGGGACTGACACCAGTGAATGCCAACAGAAACAGTCTTGTGTGATTACTCAGGTGCTACTGCTGAGTACTAGGCCCTTGACGTGAGTACAGATCTCTTTATGCATCTTCACAGCGCACCTCAAGAGCACATGACACATGGAGACTAAAGAGGAACATACACTCATCTACACTAGCGTCCTGTCTGCTTGAAATGTTCACCACGTTTGTTTAGAAGACAACGAGTCATTTCTGATTCATACTGAAGAAAGAGTCAGTTATTCTTTGAGAATTTATATACATCTAACTTAAAGTATGACTTTCAGAATCTGGGTCCCAACCAAGATTTACTGTATAGAAAGGATGATTCTGTGCCAACCTTTGTTCCATCTCTTTTTGTAGTCTTTCTTCTTTTTCTTTTTGCTCACGAGCAAGGCGTCGTTTTTCTGCCAAAATCTTTGTTGCCTCCTCAGCATTCTTAGGTCCTGGTGTGCCTTTATTACCAGATTCTAGTTTAAATTAACATGCAAAACAGTTAAGTTTAGGGAACTTACTGCCTCTATGTCCAACAAAGAGGTGCAAGACAATGTGCAATGTAAAAAATAAAAAACAACATTATGTCCATGATAGAAAACATATAAATAAACTATAAGTAATATAAGTAACAGCTTTTGTTCAAAAGCCCAATTCCTATGCCCTCATGGCCACCCCAAGCCACCAACAACAGAAGCACCATTTTGTTAACTTTTTAACAACTACTTGTCCCCAAAAGAAATAATGTGTTCTTGCTTTGGTTTAGCTGTTTTGAGATACCTGAATAAATTGCCTCTATCGAAAAAAAGATTAAGATATACTGAATATGGAGGAAGATAAGCTTATACTCAGTCGAAATGAGGTATAAATCTTTTCTCTTCTTTTTTGGCCATGGTGCACAGCTTGGGGGATCTTAGTTCCCCAACCAGGGAATGAACCCAGCAGTGAAAGCGCCGAGTCTTTAACCACTGGACTGCCAGGGAATTCCCTGAAGTGTACAAATCTCAAGTCAATTAAACAAAAATAGATACAGCATACATTCTGAAAATTCTGCATCATTTTTATTAAATAAATATTATTTCACTGAGTGTTGATAACAGTATGTTAATATATTTCGTTGATTATAAAGTGGCTAACTGTGGATAACCAAAGAAACTAAGACTATCAGTAAAATAAGATGACCACATGGAGGCATAGTATTTTAGTTCATGTGGCAAATTTGTTTTTTTTTTTTGCAAATTTGTTTTAAATAAACTACATATGAAAATGAGGATTTTAAGAAATCAGGAATATATAATTTGTAATAAAAAGACTGTTTCTGTTACAAAGAATTCACTGTGGAATTCCTACAAAAAGCAAAATTCATGAGTGTATTTAAAATTAAATAATGCAGGTGGATCATAGAAAAAGCAAGGGAATTCCAGAAAAACACCTACTTCTGCTTCATTGATCATGCTAAAGCCTTTGACTGTCTGGATCACAACAAACTGTGGAAAATTCTTGTAAATCAATTATATTTCAATTTTTAAAAACCCAGAAACAGACTCTCAGACATAGAAAATAAACTTATGGTTACCAAAAGGGAAGGCAGGGGGGAAGGGATAAATTAGGAGTTTGGGATTAGCATTAATCCCAAATTAATTTATACTATATACTATATACAAAATATTACTATATACAAAATAAACAGTAAGGTCCTACTTCACTGTTTGCTTTCACTGCTGGGTTCACTCCCTGGTTGGGGAACTAAGATCCCCCAAGCTGTGCAGCATGGCCAAAAAAGAAAAAGATTTATACCTCATTTGGACTGAGCATAAGCACAGGGAATTATATTTAGTTTCTTATGATAACCTATAATGGAAAAGAACATGAAAAAGAATATCTATATATGTGTATCTGAATCACTTTGCTGTTCACCATAAAGTAACACAAAATTTTAAATCAACTATACTTCAATTAAAAAAAAAAAGAATGCATGTGATAGTCAAAAAACCAGTATGATGGTTTTTGGAACCCACGCACTGACCTGACACATGTTACGTCCTATGTATGGAAACTACCCTCCAGCTCCTGATGGAAACCTGCTCAGCCACAAATGACTGCATGTGCTCTCTTCCAAGGATGGAAAATATTAAAGGGCCATCCACTACCAGAGCTGGAAGGAACTGCAGGGACCATCTACACCATGGCATTCATCCAACCCATCTGTACACACTAAACATCAGTTCCAAAAATAGGGCTAAGTAAGAAGTTGCAGCAAGAAAAAACAAGCATTGTGCCAGTGTGACTGGTGCAATGCTCTTTATTTTAAAGAAAATTTGCTTCCTATAGTTCTCTGAACTGGGGAATAAAATGACAATGACAGTTCCCAAACTACCTTGAGATTTTCTGGTTGCTGAAATGAACTTGTCAGTGAAGGAACTCACCTTCACAGATCATATCCTTTTGGCTTGCAGTCTCAGAGTTGTTAATGGTGTTAGAACCGGCTTTGCTTTTTATTCCCATAGTACCTAATGCATTTTGTGCAAGTACAGTACGCTGCATAGGAGTTACTTTATAGGAAAAACAAAACTGTGTCGATTGTTTTGACATGCCAGGTGAAGGTGATAGGGGGCAATTCTTTTGAATTTGCCTGCTGGGAAAAAGTAACAGTTAATGGAAGAAGTCTGGTATGATTTTATAATATATATGTGCTGATTTTTACTGTACCATTTCACACACTATAATGTCTTGACATTATATGATATGATATTTTATAATAGAGAAAGGTAAATCCATGTTTAAAGGCTTTTCCCTTTATATTTTCATTACCATGCATACTACATTATTTATGAAACACTGATGCGAGGTTTACCCTGGTAAAACATATATCAGGAACAGCTGCAAATAAGCTACTTACCTAGTACTGATGGGAGATGGTGGACGCCACCTTCTTGTAGGAGATGACGACCATCTGTAACACGGTATCTGCGATGGTGGTATGCGCTTCTTGGTAATAGGATTTGAGGGCTGTTCGTCCATTTCTGATTTCTGAACAAATCAATACAATCATACAAAAAAATTTCTAGTATTACCTTTTGTGGCTGCCTTTTCAAAAGAAAAAATTCTGAACAAAATGCTCCTAAAATCCCAATTTTCTTTTCATGCATGAGGCTTAGGTACAGACATTCATTCTTCCAGACTAACATTTTATATTATACAATTCAAACAGGTCATAGAAATAATTTAAAAGAATTCTTTTACTTCAAAACTTAATTTTATTTTTAAATCCTAATTGAGCTCTGCGATAGTTCTCAAAAACATTCCTTCAGAGTTTAGAAACATAATTCATATAAACCGCTATATTTTGTCCCTTCTATTAAAAATTATCTATTATTCCAGCTTTGGGGGGAAACTCTGGGACAATGAGCAGCAGATAATTCTAAATCATTAAAGTGAATATATTTTATCATAGAATGCTGTATGTTGTGAAATCTGACCCATCATCATCTATACAACAAAAAATACAGATTTTAATAGGAAATCTGTCAATGAAAGGCACTTGTCAAACCTATGGAGAATCTTTCACTTTACCTTGGAAGATATTTCCATGGTCACCTCAGGGGAGGTCTCCAGGGGCGCCTCTACACTTGCCTCAGAAGGCCCTTTCGTGCTTTCCTTGGGGAGCACCTCCACACTCTCCTCTGGGAGTGCAGCCATGCTTATCTCTGAGAATGCTTCTACACTCTCCTCGGGGGATGTTTCCACACTCTCCTCGGGGAGTGTTTCCATGCTCGCCTCGGGAGATATGTCCACACTAGCCTCAGATGATGCTTCCGTGCTCACCTCCTGGGGTGAGTCTATACTCACCTCCGGAGATGGGTTCACACTCACATCTGGGGATGAGTCCACATGTGCTTCATGGGATAGGTCCTCACTTGTCTCAGGTGATGTTTCCACATTCACAGAGGGTCCTTCCATGTTCACTTCTGCTAGTGCTTCCATGCTCACCTTGGGGTGTTCTTCTGTGCTTACCTCTGGGAGCGCATCCACACTCACCTTGGGGTGTTCTTTCATGCTCGCCTCCAGGAGTGTTTCCACACTCACCTCGGGGTGTTCGTTCATGCTCTCCTCTGCGAGTGCTTCCACATTCACCACAGGGTGTTCTTTCATGCTCTCTTCCGCGAGTGCTTCCACGTTCACCTCAGAGTGTTCTTTCATGCTCGCCTCCAGGAGTGTTTCCACACTCACCGCGGGGTGTTCTTTCATGTTCTCCTCCGCCAGTGCTTCCACATTCACTGCAGGGTGTTCTTTCATGCTCTCCTCTGCGAGTGCTTCCACGTTCACCTCAGAGTGTTCTTTCATGCTCGCCTCCAGGAGTGTTTCCACACTCACCTTGGGATGTTCTTTCATGTTCTCCTCCACGAGTGCTTCCACATTCACCACAGGGTGTTCTTTCATGTTCTCCTCCACGAGTGCTTCCACATTCACCACAGGGTGTTCTTTCATGCTCTCCTCCGTGAGTGCTTCCACGTTCACCTCAGAGTGTTCTTTCATGCTCGCCTCCAGGAGTGTTTCCACACTCACCTTGGGGTGTTCTTTCATGCTCTCCTCTGGGAATGCTTCCACGCTCTCTACAGGGGGTGCTTCCATGTTCACCTGGGGGGATTCATCCAAGCTTGCCTTGGTGAGTGCTTCAACGCTCACTTCAGGGAGCACTTCCACACTCGCCTTGTGGGCCACTCCCACACTAGTCTTGGAAGGTATTTCTACTTTCTCCTGGAAAGGCATCATCGCTGTTGACTTGCGAGGCACTATGGGACTCTTCAATTCATCACCGCTAAGCCTAAGCAGGGGCATGTTTACATATTGGATTATATTGTGGATGCCTGTGGATAAATGAGAACAGAGAGTGAAATTCCACACAGGTAGAAATTTGACAAGATGAAAATGTACCATTAGCAGTATAAAAACAAAAACAGAGTCGTTTATTAGGAAATCACAGGGATGACACACCATACAGAAATGTTTAGTGAAATGGATCATAGACACAAGACAGAAACAGAAACATCTCAAAGCTGGTACTTCAGAGGCACCACCACTAAGAGAGATGCATTGTGAAAGCAACAGAGCTCTCTAGATGAAAATAAGATACTTCTCCAAGCTGATGTCTGCAATAAGAATTTCTATTTTAATCACACTATAGTTCAGAATGATTTTCACAGACAATTACAAAACCTTGGACACTTATAAAAAGTAATCTAAACAAAGTCACCAGGGTCAGGGATTTTGCCATTACAAGTGATTACATAAGACACTCTATATATGATTGTTTTAAAATAGAGTATAAACAAGAGAATTTTCTCACCCATACTAAAAACTGTAGTAAGACAGTAATCAGAATTGGAGGAGGAAATAGCAACCCACTCCAGTATTCTTGCCTGGAAAATTCCATGGACAGAGGAGCCCCGTGGGCTACAGTCTATGGGTTGCAAAGGGTCAGACATGACTGAGCAACTAACATACACAGTAATCAGAATGGGCTGGATCTGCAAGGTCTCTTCCAGTTTTAACAATCTAAATATTTTTAGCCTAAGAAATGGAAAAAATTATAATATCTGGTACTAGTTAGATGGAGGAAAGCAATAATACCAATGTTGGGAACTAGGCTGGTGGAAGTATGGACTGGCACATGCTCCATGGGAACCATTTTGACAATAGTGTATCAAAAGCTACTCTGAAAAGTACATACTTTTTGTTCTAGCAATTTCACTTTTAGGTTATCCTTAAAAGAAAATTAAATTAAAAAATGAGTATGTATGTGGTTACTTGATACAGCACTGTTTATAATACTGAAACAACTGAAAATATAATCTAAATAGTCAACACAAAATTTGGACTATACTAAGGCAGTCATTAAGAGTAATAATATGCAATTTTTGGACAAAGAAAATGGTATATTTTGAGTCTAAACAAAAGCAGGTTATGATTGCAATTTATGAAAAATATGTAAATGCAAATATTCAGTTATCAGTTAGTATTGGGATAATAGGAAATTACATTAAATTTTTTTACACTAAATATTTATCAGTTTAAATATTTATTACTTGAAAATAAACTTTCTTGGAGAAGGAAATGGCAACCCACTCCAGTATTCTTGCCTGGAAAAGTCCATGGACAGAGGAGCCTGGCGGGCTGCAGTCCATGGGGTTACATGGCTGAGCATCTGTGCACGAGGGTAGAGGGAGATGGGTTGGTAGCAATAAAGTGGTAGAACTAAAAATAAAATAAAATAAAATAAACTTTCTTTTTGTGGGCCTCACCATGCATCTTGTGGGATCTTGGTTCCCTGACCATGGATTGAACACAGAGCCTGGGCAGTGAGAGTGCAGTATCCTAACCACTGGACCGCCAGGGAAGTCCCTAAACACTTTTAAAAAGGTATTTGATATAATAGTGGGAGACTTTAATACCCCACTCAGATCTAATGGATAGATTAACTAAACAGAAAATTAACAAGGAAACAAACTTTAAATGACACAATGGACCAGCTAGACCTCATTGACATCTATAGGACATTTCACCCCAAAACAATCAATTTCACCTTTTTCTCAAGTGCACACGGAACCTTCTCCAGAATAGATCACATCCTGGGCCATAAATCTAGCCTTGGTAAATTCAATAAAACTGAAATCATTCCAGTCATCTTTTCTGATCACAATGCAGTAAGATTAGATCTCAATTAGAGGGAAAAAACTATTAAAAATTCAAACATATGGAGGCCAAATAACATGCTTCTGAAAAACCAATAAATCATAAAAGAAATTTAAAAAAAGAAATCAAAATATGCATAGAAACAAATAAAAATGAAAACACCACAACCCAAAACCTATGGGACACTGTAAAAGCAGCGCTAAGGGGAAGGTTCATAGCATTACAGTCTTACCTCAAGAAACAAGAAAAAAGTCAAATAAATAACCTTACTCTACACCTAAAGCAATTAGAGAAGGAAGAAATGAAGAACCCCAGGGTTAGTAGGAGGAAAGAAATCTTAAAAATTAGGGCAGAAATAAATGCAAAAGAAACAAAAGAGACCATAGCAAAAATCAACAAAGCTAAAAGCTGGTTTTTTGAAAAGATAAACAAAATTGACAAACCGTTAGCAAGACTCATTAAGAAACAAAGGGAGAAGAACCAAATCAACAAAATTAGAAATGAAAATGGAGAGATCACAACAGACAACACTGAAATACAAAGGATCATAAGAGAATACTACCAGCAGCTCTATGCCAATAAAATGGACAACTTGGAAGAAATGGACAAATTCTTAGAAAAGTATAACTTTCCAAAACTGAACCAGGAAAAAATAGAAGACCTTAACAGACCCACCACAAGCACAGAAATCAAAACTGTAATCAGAAATCTTCCAGTAAACAAAAGCCCAGGACCAGATGGCTTCACAGCTGAATTCTACCAAAAATTTAGAGAAGAGCTAACACCTATCTTACTCAAACTCTTCCAGAAAACTGCAGAAGGTAAACTTCCAAACTCATTCTATGAGGCCACCATCACCCAAATTCCAAAGCCAGACAAAGATGCCACAAAAAAAGAAAACTACAGGCCAATATCACTGACACACATAGTTGCAAAAATCCTTAACAAAATTCAAGCAAACAGAATCCAACAACATATTAAAAAGATCATACATGGCTTCTCGGCCTTTTGGCTAAGATCAAGTGTAAAAAGATCATACATCATGACCAAGTGGGCTTTATCCCAGGAATGCAAGGATTCTTTAATATCCACAAACCAATCAATGTAATACACCACATTAACAAATTGAAAGATAAAAATCATATGATTATCTCAATAGATGCAGAGAAAGCCTTTGACAAAATCCAACATCCATTTATGATAAAAACTCTCCAGAAAGCAGGAATAGAAGGAACATACCTCAACATAATAAAAGCTATATATGACAAACCCACAGCAAACATTACCCTCAATGGTGAAAAATTGAAAGCATTTCCCCTAAAATCAGGAACAAAACAAGGGTGCCCACTCTCACCACTACTATTCAACATAGTTTTGGAGGCTTTGGCCACAGCAATCAGAGCAGAAAAAGAAATAAAAGGAATCCAGATAGGAAAAGAAGAACTGAAACTCTCACTGTTTGCAGATGACATGATCCTCTACATAGAAAACCCTAAAGACTCTACCAGAAAATTACTAGAGCAAATCAATGAATATAGTAAAGTTGTAGGATATAAAATTAACACAGAAATCCCTTGCATTCCTATACACTAACAATGAGAAAACAGAAAGAGAAATTAAGGAAACAATACCATTCACCACTGCAACAAAAAGAATAAAATACTTAGGAGTATATCTACCTAAAGAAACAAAAGACCTATATGTAGAAAACTATAAAACACTGGTGAAAGAAATCAAAGAGGACACAAATAGATGGAGAAATATACCGTGTTCATGGATTTGGACCACTCAATATTGTGAAAATGAGTATACTACCCAAAGCAATCTACAGATTCAATGCAATCCCTATCAAGCTACCAATGGTATTCTTCACAGAACTAGAACAAATAATTTCACAATTTGTATGGAAATACAAAAAGACTCGAATAGCCAAAGCAATCTTGACAAAGAAGAATGGAACTGGAGGGATCAACCTGCCTGACTTTAGGCTCTACTACAAAGCCACAGTCATCAAGACAGTATGGTACTGGCACAAAGACAGAAATATAGATCAATGGAACAGAATAGAAAGCCCAGAGTTAAATCCACGTACCTATGGACACCTTATCTTCAACAAAGGAGGCAAGAATATACAATGGAAAAAAGACAACCTCTTTAAACAAGTGGTGCTGGGAAAACTGGTCAACCACTTGTAAAAGAATGAAACTAGAACACTTTCTAACACCATACACAAAAATAAACTCAAAATGGATTAATGATCTAAATGTAACACCAGAAACTATAAAACTCCTAGAGGAGAATATAGGAAAAACACTCTCCGACATAAATCACAGCAAGATCCTCTATGACCCACCTCCAAGAATATTGGAAATAAAAGCAAAAATAAACAAAATGGGACCTAATTAAACTTAAAAGCTTTTGCACAACAAAGGAAACTATAAGCAAGGTGAAAAGACAGCCTTCAGAATGGGAGAAAATAATAGCAAACGAAAAAACAATGATAGCAAACGAAGAAACAGACAAAGGATTAATCTCAAAAATATACAAGCAACTCCTGCAGCTCAATTCCAGAAAAATAAATGACCCAATCAAAAAATGGGCCAAAGATCTAAACAGACATTTCTCCAAAGAAGACATACAGATGGCTAACAAACACATGAAAAGATGCTCAACATCACTCATTATCAGAGAAGTGCAAATCAAAACCACAATGAGGTACCATTACACTCCAGTCAGGATGGCTGCTTTCCAAAAGTCTACAAGCAATAAATGCTGGAGAGGGTGTGGAGAAAAAGGAACCCTCTTACACTGTTGGTGGGAATGCAAACTAGTACAGCCACTATGGAGAACAGTAGGGAGGTTCCTTAAAAAACTGGAAATAGCGCTGCCATATGACCCAGCAATCCCACTCCTGGGCATACACACCGAGGAAACCAGATCTGAAAGAGACACATGTACCCCAATGTTCATTGTAGCACTCTTTATAATAGCCAGGACATGGAAGCAACCTAGATGCCCATCAGCAGACAAATGGATAAGAAAGCTGTGGTACATATACACCATGGAATATTACTCAGCCATTAAAAAGAATGCATTTGAATCAGTTCTAATGAGATGGATGAAACTGGAGCCCATTATACAGAGTGAAGTAAGCCAGAAAGATAAACACTAATACAGTATACTAACGCATATATATGGAATTTAGAAAGATGGTAATGATAACCCTATATGCAAGACAGAAAAAGAGACACAGATGTATAGAACAGACTTTTGGACTCCATGGGAGAAGGTGAGGGTGGGATGATCTGAGAGAACAGCATCAAAACATGTATATTATCAAGTGTGTAACAGATCACCAGTCCAGGCTGGATGCATGAGACAAGTGCTTGGGGCTGGTGCACTGGGAAGACCCAGAGGGATGGGTTGGGGAGGGAGGTGGGTTCAGGATGGGGAACACATGTAAATCCATGGCTGATTCATGTCAATGTATGGCAAAAACCACTACAATATTATAAAGTAATTAGCCTCCTACTAATAAAAATAATTGGGAAAAATAAATAAATAAATAAAAAGGTATTTGATGATGGCTTTTTTAAGACTTGGTAAACATACCAAAAAACTCAGCTATTTTTCAGTTCCTCACTTTTGGCAGAGAAAGCATTTTACTTACATACCTGTATGTGCCTAATCACTTATTTAACACTGACAGTTTGTGCTACAGAAAATAAAAGTAGAGTAACTAGATTTATAATAGCTAAAGAAATTTAAGAGAAACTATTGAGATTTTTGATGGGAGTAACATATTTTAAAAAGAAATTAGAATTCTAATTAGAAAAGGCAGAGGAACCAGAGACCAAATTGCCAACACTCAATGGATCACAGAAAAAGCAAGAGAATTCCAGAAAAACCATCTACTTCTGCTTCAGTGACTACACTAAAACCTTTGATTGTGTGGATCACAACAAACTATAGAAAACTCTTAAAGAGATGGGAATACCAGACTACCTTACCTGTCTCCTGAAAAACCTGTATGCAGGTCAAGAATCAACAGTTAGAACCAGACATGGAACAATGGACTGGTTCCAAATTGGGAAAAAGTACGTCAAGGCTGTATATTGTCATTTGTCTGCTTATTTAACTTCTATGCAGAGTATATCAGGCTAAATGCCAGGCTGAATGAAGCACAAGCTGGAACTAAGACTGTAGGGAGAAATATCAATAATCTCAGATATGCAGATGATACCACCCTTACGGCAGAAAGTGAAGAGGAACTAAAGAGTTTCTGGGTGAAAGTGAAAGAGGAGAGTGAAAAAGCTGGCTTAAAACTCAACATTCAAAAAACAACGATCATGGCATCTGGCCCCATCACTTCATGGCAAATAGATGGGGGAAACAATGCAAATGGTGACAGACTTTTTTTTCTTGGGCTCCAAAATCAATGCAGATGGTGACTGCAGCCACAAAATTAAAAGACACTTGCTCTTTGGAAGAAAAGCTATGACAAACTTAGACAGCATATTAAAAAGCAGAGACATTTACTTTGCCGACAAAAGTCCATATAGTCAAAGTTACAGTTTTTCTAGTAGTCATGTATGGATGTGAGAGCTGGACAATAAAGAAAGCATCAGTCTGACTGATGTCCAAAAAGGACACTTTTGTTGGCATGAGCACACAACCGATTAAATAAATAAAACTGATGCTTTTGAACTGTGGTGTCGGAGAAGACTCTTGAGAGACCCTTGGACTGCAAGGAGATCAAATCAGTCAATCCTAAAGGAAATCAATCCTGAATATTCATTGGAAGGACTGATGCTGAAACTGAAGTTCCAATACTTTGGCCAGCTGATGTGAAGAACTGACTCATCAGAAAAGACCCTGATGCTGGGGAAGACTGAAGGCAGGAGAAGGGGATGACGGAGGATGAGATAGTTGGATGGCATCACTGACTCGATGAACATGAGTTTGAGCAAGCTCTGGGAGTTGGTTATGGACAGGGAAGCCTGTGGTGCTGCAGTCCATGAGGTTGCAAAGAGTCAGACATGACTAAGCAACTGAACTGAGAATTAGAATACCTCACAATACACTGGGGAGAGATGGGCAGAAAATAATGTGACATACATACAACTAGTCAGAAACAAAGTCAGGAATTAAAATCAAGAGAAATAAAGCTGCACTACAACAAAGTCTATGATAGCACTTTGGTTCACTAATCATATGGATATTGACCGAAAAACAAGCAAAGGGGGCTAGGGACATATTCCGGAAAGGAAAAAGTGGAGGGAAAAAAGAGAAAAAGGATGGGAACAATGCATTAGAGCTCTCTGTGACTGAGGACTTACTACCCAGAAGCATATTTAACATGATATGTGACCCATAACCCTGAAAATCCGTTTTTACCAATAATCTTCTTTTAAACATTTTTTTAACATGGACCATGTTTAAAGTCTTTATTGAATTTGTTATAATACTGCTTCTGTTTTATGTTTCAGTTTTTTAGCCATAAGGCATGTGGGATTTTTAGCTTCCCAACAGGGATCAAACCTGGACCCTTGCATTGGAAGGCAAAGTCTTAAACACTGGACTGCCAGGGAAGTCCCTATTTTACTAACCATCTTTATGTTCTTAATTAAAAGCTAAAGAGCCACTCAATGTTATTCTTCCACATTTTAAGAAAAAAAAGAAGGTCGGCTTTCTCTCTTGATTTTATTTAGGCTTTTCTATATACCTAAAATCCAGCCCTTTTTATAATACTGTTATAATACTTACATATTACTTATATAATACTTATATATTTAAGCACAGGTCAAAAAACCCACGGTTTTAAAATTTAACAACCATCAAAACTCCTTATCTCATCCTATAAATTACCCTGATAACTATTCCAGTATGCTTGCCATCATAAAATAAATATGCAACATAAAATGTTGTACAGACTCACTCATTTGCAAAGTATTGATTCAAATTATTTTTATGCTTTTCTGTAAAAAATTAAGTGATACAACCTACTTTTTCAGCTCAAATGCTAACATTTTCAGGCACTCTACCCTATGCTTATTACCTAGATTATTGCTATTAAACTACTAATGAAACAGTACTTTTGTTCCTGGCTACTGACACTTTTGTTGGGATGAGCATGCAACCGATTAAAGTATTCTCCCAAAGAGAGGTATATAGCTAACAAACTAAATGATGAGAACAAACAGAAAGGACTCAGTTTCAGGTCTCACAAATAAATGAAGAAAGCAAGAAAGAGCAATGTGAACTGCTCTAAGTGATAAGTATCCCAGCCTAAAAGCACAGGCAATTGAGAACCACACATACATCACGGGACCAAACACTGCCACCTGACGGGACTGCACTGTTAGGGAAGATAAGACCTGAATAGACAGTCAAAGACCCCAGCATCCCACAGTAATCCCAATGCGGGGATCCAGGTAATGTATCTAATAGAACTGTACCCAATGTAAGGAGTCTCTATGGAGAAACTCACATGTGGAGAAAAAAGTTGTACATGACAAAAGCACTTCAACATGGATTCCTCCAGATATATGTCACTGACAGTCACATGTGTCAAGTTCATTGCCACTAGCACCCAGGGACTGAGTGAATTAAGTAAATCATGCTGTAAATAGCTTGCTCCAATAAACTTTTAAGTTCATGAAGATCCCTGCCACAATGACATTTGTTTTAACAGGATGTGACCTGAATCCTCTATAAGTGAACAGTTTGTTATGAAACAAAAAGGAACAATCATGTTTAATAGGGAAAGCTTAAGGGAAAGGTGTCAAAAACAACTTTAAATAAACATATACTTCAGTAATAATTTTGAAATCTTGTGTGTAATGATCAGCAGTGAAAATACACCCAAAGGATAGATGTGGATTATGCTGTGAAGCAGCAAAGCTTTGAAGTTTAAAATGTGGCCAGTAATTTAGAACTTCTATATATGAACTAATGAAATGTTCGAAGGAATGAAGTGCTTCAGGACAAATCTATCCGTACCAACATTCTATGGTCTAGTTCTCTGCTTCATGGCAGAATTATATATTTTATTGTTGTATGACACTTAAATGAGAACCAGACCTTCCAATAAAATTCAGTTTTGGGAAAAAGAAAAAAAATAATAAAGAGATTCTTCTGGCTTCAGTCAAATAAGCATGTCACCAAAGTACATTTTTTAATTAAAGAAGGGATATTTTGGCTTCCAATGTTTTGGAATGACTTCTCAAGCAGTTGAATGTTGACATAAACATAATACATTTAAACCACCAGTTAAGATTGGCACTTAGAAATAACTAACCAGGTCGTTTTTCTTCCTCTTGTTCTGTTTCTGTAGATGAAGGCAGTCTGCTACATCTTCTATTCAAAGATGAACTTCGCCTTTTTTCTTGTGTTTCTGGAGATCAAAGGCAAAGAAATAACACTTTTTAAGAAAATTAAGAAAAATTTTTGGCCATGCCACATAATATGTGGGATCTTAGTTCCCCAACCAGAGATCGAACCCACAACCCCTGCATTAGGAGCATGGAGTCTTAACCAGTGGACCGCAAGAGAAGTCCAGGAACATTACTATTTATAAGCCATTTAAACAGATTCCTTCAGGAGTGAGCCACTCCTTTTTTCCAAACTTTTTTTTTTAATCTTCTCTACTCTTCATTGTAAGAATTTTTTTAAATTTCAAGTATTATGAAGAGATTCTACATGCCCAGAGTTAAAACCAGGTTACTCTTTAAGTAAGTTAACATTTAAGTGATTAAATGTTGCTAATACAGCATCATTTGAAAATTCTACTGATAAATGTAATTGCACAGCATAATCTACAGCTGCTGCTGCTGCTGCTGCTAAGTTGCTTCAGTCGTGTCCGACTCTGTGGGACCCCACAGACGGCAGCCCAGCAGGCTCCCCCATACCTGGGATTCTCCAGACAAGAACACTGGAGTGGGTTGCCATTTCCTTCTCCAATGCATGAAAGTGAAAATTGAAAGTGAAGTCGTTCAGTCGTGTCTGACTCCTAGTGACTCCATAGACTGCAGCCTACAAGGCTCCTCTATCCATGGGATTTTCTAGGCAAGAGTACTGGAGTGGGGTGCCACTGCCTTCTCCAACGATCCACAGAAATGTAATTAATTCGATCATATGATGAGATCACCTATACCTTACTATCACATTGCAAGAAATGAAAAAATAGTGTAAAGTTATGGTAAGTCAGCACTGAGTAGAAGAAAAACAGATTATTTGAATCAGTCAAGATTTAAAGAAAGGCTATTTAGGAACTTCCCTGGTGGTCCAGTGATTAAGGCTGTATTTTCACTGCAGAGGGCGTGGGTTTGATCCTTATTCAGGGAGCTAAGATCCTGCATGCTACACACACAGCACAGCCAAACATATTTTTTAAAAAATTAAAATATAAAGCAAGCTATTTAAAACATCACAGGTTAGATTATGAACTTCATTTGAGTTTGAAATGTTCATCTCTCTGGATTGAACAGGTTTTATTTCAGTTTGAAGGGATTTTACAAAGGTAAGCCAGTGAAAATATTGATTTCATTTTCTGTGGAATAATTACAGCATTCATCATTTCAGAGTGTGTAATATACTATACCTTTAAGCAAGTTATTTCATAAAGTATCTTCCACACATACCTTCTCGGATTACAAACAAGTAAAAGATATCATTTAAAAAATTACTTGGAATTGTTCCTTCAGTGCAATTTAACTCATTACTAACTTGGAAGTCATCACCTGTCCCTTTTCTTTACATGCTTCACTAATACAGCAGGTACACATATTAACAAAAACACTCGAGTGTTTGCTCACTATATTAAAAATATAAAAAATGTCTGTGGAGAAATCTTTGCTAATTCCTCCAATCAATTAGATAGTAAAACAGGGTCAACGCTTGTGAAACAATTAAAATAAAATGAAAGTATACACATATGATGTTGCAATGAATGTTATCTAATTTTTCTAAAGGATTGAGCTTGTGAATAATAAATTCATCTTATTATATGACAAGCAAGATGCTAAAGAAAATCTTCCCATATTAATCTATGAATGAACCTGGGCTATACGTAAAAGTGCTCTGGAAAAGCATACTAAGGTTAATGATGGAAAGTGGATCAACTTCTGTTGGACTATTTATTACAAGAGAAAATGAGATGCGTCAAAACTGACAAATAACGAAAGATCTCTCAAGTTCATTGTTGAAAATTTTAAGAGTTCTAAAAGTACAAATGATGTAATTTAAGTATAAACAAAACAAAAAATCCTTTTTCAACATAAATTTAGACAAAAATGGAAATCGTTCCCACTAAGTTAACCACTGCTACAATTAACTAATTATATGCTTTAAATGATATCCAGAATCTTTTTCCACACTGGAATTTTAGAGCAATCAGCATGCTCAAAAAATACTCAGACACCTAATAACACAGAAGAAACATTTTTAATTCAAACTATAATTATGCCTTTGTTTCAATTCACAAGGTACAAAAATGGTATATCTTTTCTACAGCCAAGTTTGAGGGAATGAAGTGGAATATGTTTGCCATGTCTTTCTCCTGCAAAGATCATGTCTGTTTTTTTCTCTGGAAAGAAAAAGGATTTTTTTTTTTGTTGGGTATGGTTATCTAATCCAATTCAACTATCAGTGAGAAGCACCATGTAGTATAAGCCAGATATGGTCACTGACATACTCAGGTAAAGATTTTTTAAAAAAAATAAGGAACGCTAGGGAATTCCCTGGTGGTCCAATCATTCGAACTCCACACTTTCACTGCCAAAGGTGCATGTTCAGTTCCTGGCCAAGAAACTAAGGAGTACTAATTAAAAGGGCAAATACCAGGAGCAAAATGTATTTGAAGTATCTGCAGTAGATAAGTTTTATTTTATTTTAAAGAGCACTGTATTACCTCTACAAAGAGTTGTAAAGTAGAGCTTAGAAATACTCTTTCATTAACACTGTTAAAAAACCACTTTATTTGCTTTGGGGAAACACACAGCGTTGTTAGTGGAATGTACAGTTTAAAACCATGATCAAATGACCAAAAAATTATGATCAGATGACCAAAATATAAACCACAGAAGAGCAGGGTGGAATGGAAATCACTGAATTTCATGGGGTCTTAATTATAAAATAGGAAGGTAACTTGCTTGTCAACTTTACATATATATGAAGCAGATCAACCTGTCCACTGCTATATATATGCTATTATTTTTCTTAAATTAGGTAACATTCATGAAACTTAACGGAAATTGAATGGACTACTCCAGTTTCTGGAAAAACGGATTTCAGTTTTAGGTTAGACAGAATATGGATTAATTTTAAAATAAATTATTGTGCCACTTAATGGCAATGTCTTTGGGTCAAAATATATTTCATAGCTGTTGGGCTACCTGAGCCCAACAAACCCATCTGATACGATTAGTACACAAACCAAGAAACAAGGGGCTTCTCTGGTGGCGCAGTGGTGGAGAGTCTGCCCGCCAATGCAGGGGACATGGGTTGGATTCCTGATCTGGGAGGATCCCACATGCTTTGGAGCAACTAAGTATGTGTGCCACAACTACTGAAGCCCGTGCACCCTAGGGCTCATGCTCTACAACAAGGGAAGCCACCACAATGAGGGGCCTATGCACTGCAACTATAGTGTAGCCCCTGCTCACTGAAACTAGAGAAAAGCCCAAGAAGCAACAAAGACCCAGCATAGCCAAAAATTTTTAAAAAATTATTTTTAAAAAGAAACAGGGATTTATACTGATGAAAATACAAAAAAGTAATGACCGCCTTTACTGTGAAACAACGTGGTGCTCTTCTAAAATAAATCTAAATGTCCTACGATCTAAAGAGTAAGCGGTACTGTAGAAATACATATAAAGACTTGATTTCACTGGTTTGAAACTAAGTAAAATACATGAAATAAATACTTACTCTTGGCAACAGAATTTTGAAGACCAGTAGATGACATTTGTTTGCGTGATCCACAAGTCCCCTGCTCAAGCTTTTCAGTAGATGTAGAATGTTTATTGACTGAGAAAAGATGCAAGATTTACTGTACTCATATTTTAAAAAGCATCATTAGCTGAAACAAGATGAGCTCATGATGCACTTATACAGAGCACAAACATGTATTAATTAGGTACACAATGCTGTCAATCATTCCTTATAAATTATGAAAACTTAACTTACATTTTATGCAATTGCTTAGAATTACATCCACACATAGGAAAAATTATAGTACATCATTAGTAAACAGGGCAATTTATTTTTAAAATATGCACTGGCTAAAGCTGTGTAAAGCTTATCAATTATCATTTATTTTTAGAGATTACAAGTTTAAATGGTAAGATTTTGGATATACTGTATAAAATAAAGTTATTATAAAATTTCACCTGTTTCTTTGGCAATCTCACATGACACAAATTTAAATGCATGCCAAAGAGTACATGGCAGTGTTTTCACTTAGGATACAAAGCTGAGAATCCGTTGTAAATGCAACCTTATACTAATAGCCAATATTTACATGTGAAAATGAATGAACTTAAAGTTTAGCAGTTGTATTAATTACCAGTCTTATTTTGGGAATTGATTGTTGTACAGCCCTCCCATGACCATCTTTTTGAGCGGCTAATGTGGCTGCTCCTCTCCAGTGTACGATGAAGGACGGCTTTGACTTTCTCCTATTTAAAATAAAAGCCAATAAACATTTACGGATGTGTTATATTCACTAGTGTAATTCTGATCTATCAGTTATAAAATACCCCCACCACCAAATTTTTTAATCAGGCAAAATTTTTTTTATAAAAGAGAAAAGTTAAAATTGGAAACATCTCAGGTATGAATCCGTACTTTCCCAACTAAGTAGGTTTTAATCTTATGGATATGAATCGAGAAACTGACCATGCTTCCCTCTTTGCTTATATCATTAGGAAATTTAGAAATAAAAGTGTAGCCTATTCCAGCAACTATACAAGGACTGAGTAGTACGCTTTGATGTATGCTAATCGCATCTTATGTTTTATTATTTTCTTACTTTAATTCCCCCCTCCGCTTGATTCCCTCAAACATTTATTTTTTCATCTGGTTGTGGTATATAGTTTTTAAAATATACCTTAAATTCTTTGTAGAATGAGGCAGGATAAAAAATCAGCCAATACATACAAGTGAAACTATGCCAGATCATCTATTATACCCATATTTCTAACCTTAAATTCTGGTGTTAACTAATCAAGTGTTTAAAAAGAGTTGTGTTTGTCTTGACCTCAGCTTTAGTCTAAGCTGTGCAAGATAACAGGTCTACGAATGCAAATGCTACACAGTGGCAAAACAGCACCACTGTCAGAAATGAGATGCAGTTTTCTATTCCTCATCTCTGTGCTGTAACATACCATGGATTACACTCACGTAAGCAAATCAACCTCAGGGCCAGAAAGTTTTCTATTCTTCCCTGACAACAACTGTTTCATAGCAACATCATCCTTACAATGTTCCCACAGTTTAGAGGGTGAACATATTAGGAAAATGGAGTCATCCATATCCTCTGAGGAGAAAAGCAACTTCAATTTTAAAATGAAACTTATCTAATGACAATATTTTAAATTATATTTTCTAACAGAAAGGAAGTTGTTGTAAATTACTTAGACACCCCAGAAGTATAATAAAGATTAAAAACAGCATATTCTTGTATTATTAAAACCTCTCTCCTAAGCACTCTATTTGCTGTTTCCAGATGTGCTGACCCTCCATGCTCTTTCAGGTTCCTTCTGGCATCTGTGGCTCAGGTGCAAGCTCCTGTCCTCTTTTCCATATGCCCCCGTCCATACTCGCCCCTCCTCACCACCACTGAGTTTGGGGTTTTTTCCTGCTCTACTGAATCATTCCCTTTTTCTATGTGCAGCCTCCTCAGTGATGTTCGGTCCCTGCTTTGTCTAGGCCTCTCCCACGCTAGCTCTCTGGCGCCGGTTCTCTTTTGACCTTTCTCCTTGTCTTCTGGCCTCTTGTCTGGCTCACTCTCTCTCTCTCTGGCTCCCACTCTGTCTACAGTGCTGTTTTGTTGCTTCTTCCTTCCCTGTGTTCTCTCTCAGGTTCCTCTTTTCCTAAGATGGTCTTTTCTACTCATAGTCCTTGGGACTCTCCCTCTGTCCTCCAGGGACCTTTCCTGACCCAGCACAGTTTCCTATTTTACTCTCTTTGGTTCTGTCTTTATCAAGTTCAGTTTCTCTGGCCTTCACTCTTCTTTACCACAGAGAAGTAACTTTAAGGAAACAGTTCACAGAGGAAGAGAGAGTGATACAAGTTCTGAATGAGAATTCATTAAATACTAGAATGTGGGGAAAAAGAGAAGGTGCTGGTGAACCATGGATAGGGAAAAAACACCACAGGAGTAGTCCTCAAATAAAGAAGATTCACTGATGGGGATAAGGAGTTGGGAGGGGCGGGTGTGAGGCATTTTCAAGAGCCAACTGTGTGCAAAAGTTAGGAAGAAAAGTGAGCACCACAGAGAAAGACACAGAGAAGAGGGCTCTTGGGAGAGAAATGGAAACAAAGAGAAAAGGAAAGAAAAAATATTTTAAAATTAGAGCAACAGAAAAAAAAGACAGAGAGAGGATAAAACCCCATACACTGAGAGAACAATGGCAGAAACTCCAAAGATGGGGAGCAAAAAGGAGGGAGAAGCTAAGACAAAGAAAGTAGAAAGAAAAAGGGGGTGCTATTGGAAAAGGGCCAGAGTCAGACAAACAGCCAGAGACAGGCCAAGGCTCACTCAGGGACACTTGAGGGGCACTGGAACAAAGAGAAAGAGAGAATGACAGTGAAGAAAAGGATGGGACATGCCAATTCCGAAGGAGCAAAGGACACTCATAGTAAATATGTGGAACAACCTACAGGAGAAAAACATGGTGTCAGAGAGAATCCTACAAATTGAGACAGGTAACCAGATGCTCACAGAGAAACTGCCAAAGGCAAACTGAAGAGGGACAGACAAGAGGAAGAGAGGGCAGGACAAAGATAGTGAATTGTATCAACAGAGTGCCAGAGACACCCAAAGTCCAGATAGGAAGAGAGCAAGGCCACAGCACAGAGAGAGAAAGGAACAACAAGGGGAGAGGGGGAGACAGCAAAAAGGGAGCCAGGGAACCATGGGAGAGTGGAAGGCTCTGCCACTCACACAGTGAGGGGAGTGGTGAGGAGGGGAGTGGTGAGAAGCGGACGTCAGGGTCAGAGGGGGCCCTATCAGACAGGGCCTGATAGTGGGTGGGTGAATACTAGGAAATGGGACAACACCTTTGGTAGGAGAGAAAGCGCCTCAGAACAAAGCCCAAGCTGCAGGCATCCTGCAGGCGCACAGGGCTCTCTCCCTGGATGTGCAAGGCTCCTCTTCACCTCAGTTACTAAGCCTAAACTCAGGCCTCAGATCAGGATGGGGCAAGAGCTGCTAATGTTTAAGGAAAGATCAAAGAAGAACTGGTATTAGTTCCAGAAGAATCGGGATCGGTTCCAGTAAAAGCAGAGAAGGGCTAAGAAAAAAGTACTGCAGAACCAGGCAACACAGTGTATCATCTGATTAAAAGAGAAGAAAAACACGTACCCTTTCTTCCTCTAGCATTTCGCTTCTCTTTTTTTCTGCAGATATTCTCCGTTGTTCATCTTTTTCTTTCTGTTCCCTCAGCTTTCGCTGTTTCTCTTCCATCTGTTTCTCATATACGATCTTAGACTTTCTTTCTTTTTCAAGTAGTTGTGTCTCTCTATTAGCTGAAATATTCCAAATGCAAGGTAAGAGCCAAGAAAAAAACTGTTTAAGTTTTCCACATTACAGAGAGAGAAGGAAAGTTAATGTATTTTATTCTCTTTCTTAAAAATAACATAACCTGTGCTAATAATTAAAGATTTATTATATAAATGACCAGAGATGGCCATGAAAGAATCATTTCCACTGGGTATTCATTTAACTCCTGAGAACTGAATTGGCTTAAATGACTCTCCTCCTGTCTGAACTAAAATTCCAAATTCAAAAGAAATATTTTCTTTCATGTGATGTTTCTGCTGACTTGAGCTAAGAAGTCAAACCCCATCAGATTAATATGCTGTACATTAAAATAAGAATTAAAAAATACACGGCCAGAATATATGGCTTTTTCTTCTAATATGAAACTTCTTTTTAAAGACCTCATCTAAACAGACCATATTAAGCATGCCAATTTGACCTTCATGGGCTTAGGCACATACCACATTACTGACCAGCATGATGTTTTCCTACATTCAAATTTCCTCTCACTAAAGCCTGGAGAGCACCCATGCAGTTGCAAAAATACTCTTCTAAAGAGCTACAGGAAGAAACTGCTCCTCACCAAAACAGAGACAACTGCTATTCCATTTGAATGAAGGTGAGCACTAGTTTTGCAGTGGATTTACAGGGCCAGATGAGGAAAATACAAAGCTGAAAAAGCATTCTCTCAAGATTATGGTTCTTTTAGAAAAGAATATTAGATTCTTTTAGATCTTAATTGATACAAAGTCACACTTGAGAAAGCACAGCAATCAGTGAAAGACACCAAATCTATAGTAAGATTATTAGCAAATTCATTTATGTTTTTGGCCATGCCATGGCTTGTGGGATCTTGGTTCCCCAACCTGGGATTGAACCCCAGGCCTCTGGCAGTGAAAGCACAGGGTCCTAACCACTGGACCTCCAGGGAATTCCTTCATTTTTGTTTTCAGAGTCATTTTTACTGAAATCCCATTTTGCTTGTTTCTACAAATGCTGAAGAAATTTTCATACTTAAAGCTAACAGAAACTACTATTTCAAAAATAAAAAATTTGGCCAAATATTTTTCATGAATCTCCTTTATCTCATTCAGTATATGTTTTTAATCCAATATAACACATAAAATAAAAAGACAGTAACACATACTGCATAAGATATACTATTAAAAAAAGATTAAAAAGTAAAACCACTTTGAAAATATGTAAGCTTAATGTAAAATTTATTTTTATTTTTTAAAAAGTCTAAAATATACCATCATCTTGATTCATTTTGCTGTACAGTATAAAATGACGAAACATTATAAAGTAACTATATTCCAATAAAAATTAATTTAAAAAATACCATCATCTTGTCTTTTTTTCTCTTCTCTCCGCTCCTTTGCTAATCTTTGTTTTATGTCATTTTTAAGCACAGAGCCATCTATTACTAAAAAAAAGAATATAATTAGCTGTCAATAGGATATCAAACTTAGAGGATATAACACTTTGACATCTATCAAAGTACTCTAGAAATTATACCTGGCTTAAATGGTGATTTTATATTTGAAAGCTGTGAAGGCACAGAACTAAAGCTACCTTGACTTCGTCTTTCTTCAGCAATGGCATTAGCAGCAGCAACTAAAATACAGGGAGATAAAGGAAAGGGATTAAATATTAAGAAGACAAACAGCTAATCCAAGGGCGGCAAATTCTATCTTCGAGGATAAAGGATAGCATCTCTTCAAGAAGGCATGACAGATGACTCTGGGTCAGCAAAGACATACTGAGTACCTATGATTTTCAACAATAATTCAACCAAGAATTAACACTGTTTACTGTAGACACGCCAGCCTATCCGTGCACACACAGTTGTCACTGGAAGCAGCAACATGAGCTGGTGGATGAATAAGAGCTAATGAGTAACAGATTTCAAAAATGCCTCAGACAAGACATTACACCAAGTACTAGAAAAACTGAGCTGGCAAAGATTCGGAAAAAATGTTTTGCCATAAACTGGGGTAATTTAAAAAAGATCTGGAGTTTATGGATTTGAATTTGGAAGCAAAAGTGTCAACAGTGAGAGCCTCAGAGATTGGGCCCAATATTAAGGAGAACATTTATAAATTACCTTGATCAGGGACTGTCTACCCTGGCTTCCCAGTAGATTCACCCATATTGTTTAAAAAAAAAAATTAGCAATGCTTTCCCCTCCCCACTTCCACTCTCTGAGAATGGGGCCCAGGCCTTTGCAGTTGCTAAAAGTTCTATTCTGATGCACAGTGAAGGTGGAGAAACACTCAAAGAAGTTCCAATGAATGGGATGGTACTTTTTGAGGTAGGAAAATGTCAAGTTAATAAATATTAACACATCTTGTGTAAACAGGTAGAAAATGGTAAATAAACTTCAATAAGGGTGAAGTATAAGAGTATAGGAGTGTGGGAGCACAATTTGAGAGAAAGTAAGAAAAACTGAAATTGTAGATGATACCAAAACAAGTTATTGGGGAATTCCCTGAACTCTTTCCATATATGACTCTATCTAAAATGCCTCACAGTAGCAGGCATCTTCAGGAAGGAGCTGGAGAATAACACTGAAAACCCTCTTCTACCCTAGTAAAAAAGCACAGGAAACATGCCCCTGTGATACTGCATACAATTCTGGTCTCTACATATCAAGAAAAACGTAGAACAGTTGAAGATGGGCAGCTAAAATAAGAGACTAGAGGGTCTGCGGTTGTACTCAGAATGAATGGACTTTGAGATGTTACTTGCCACGGATGAAAGATATCTGGGAGCCATTTTACAGAGTAACCCTGAAAGTGACACAATTGCTGCCATAGAGACCACCATTTCAAAAGGGGAAATGATTTTTTTTTAATCCCAGAGACCAAACAGCTCACGATCTAGCTAAATTTGAATTGAAGATTAGACTCTTCTAAACTTCTTCAGTTATAAACTTCTTCAGTAATTCATCAATTTTGTGGACCACAATTATTCTCTCAATTTCAGTCCTGGTATACTAAGAAAACTCTTATATAGTCTATAAGTTAAATAAACCATCCTATACACCCCCCTTCCACTCACATTTCTATGTGAGCATAGAGAAAACCACTGTTGCTTTTGCATATTCAGTTTTCCTGCTTAAAATCCTAAGGAAAGTCCATATTTTGGCACAATTTAGTTGGCCATCAGGACAACTTCCCTCAAAATGTACAATTTTACCAGATTTAAAGATGTTATTAATCACAAGTAAACTTAAAAGTAGTTGTTGTGGCAATAATGGACCACATCATATACAGATTATAATATCAAATCTAATTTTTTTTAAAATTTTGGCTGCACAGGTTGGTTTGCAGGATCTCAGTTCTCTGACCAGGGATTGATCCCAGGCCATGGCAGTGAAAGTGCCAAGTCCTAACCATTAGACAGTCAGGGAACATCCCTCAAATCTGATTTTTACTTCCAAATTCCTACTGACAGAAATACATTCACCAAAAGGACAGGCTCTAAAAATGTCCAGACACTAGAGGAAAGCCTCCACGTCTGAAGTTAACAAAATGAACATTTTATTCAACTCTATTCAATGAGGAATTTAATTCACTTTAAAGTAATAGGTGCAATAGAGTATTTCTATAGTTCATATACTAACTCTAAACTCCAAATTAAAGTTAAAAGTTACTTTCTGCCTGGAGATTTAATAAGAAAACATGTAGATATTATTACTAAAACTGAATTATGAATCTTAATCTGTATTTCCAAAAAATTGCCATAATGAATAATGTATATCACCTCACCATTTATGAAGTTGTTTTCATTGATTACCTCATTTAATTCTCATAATAATCCTATAAAGTGGATATTATTTTCTTCATTATTTTCTTTACAGATGAGCAAACTGAAGCTAAATATAAATTTCCCAGATCACACAGATAGGAACTGGTAAAGCCAGAATTTACGTCAATTGTAAATTTACTTTGAAATACTACATAATTATGAAGGACCAGACTGTACAAAACCCTTATCAACTTCTATATGACTTAGTTTAATACTACTACTTCAGCTACTTTTAAGGTTACTTCTTTTTAAAATACCACAATGAAGGAATTAAGATCTAAATGTATACAACTTATTCAACAATAAGTAAATGAAATATATGGGTTTTGGTATAAAACATACTTTGGAAATACAGCAATGGAAATTATTTTAAAATAAAGCATTTACTTTTTTTTTTTTAAGAAATCACTATTATGCTGTGGCTAAGAAAAGCCTAAGTTTTAAGAAAATGTGTAAAAGACAATACAAAAAGAAAATGATTCTCTTTTTTTTTTTTTTTTTTTTGGTGGCACCTCAAGGCTTGTGGCAATTTAGTTCCCCAACCAGGGATTGAACTCTCAGCAGTGATAGCAGAGTCCTAACCCCTGGACCACCAGGGAACTCTGCCATTCTCCTTCTATGAGGAGAAAATAAAAATCATTCCAGCTATCTAACCCAATAAAGCCTCAGAATAAAATGAACCAAAAATAGGTGCCACTAGAATGCCAAAGGTAAAGAATGTTTTACACTTGATAGATTTTTTTTAAAGATATCATTGAAATTTTGAGGCCCCTTCTGGACATAAGGCATTTTAGGTCATTACTGACTTCAACATAGAAAATTTCTGCTTCTCTCCTAAACCTCCTTCCTCAACACACACAAAATCTGTGTCATAAGGGCTCTGCTCTACTAGGGCAAGCAAAATGCAAGAAAGGAAGAACATTTTTCTAAGACAGTTATTTCAAGAATGGTAATAATCTTCCTAAATCTGCACCCAAGCACGATCACCCCAAAATGGGTGAGATATCAATGCGAAATATTCATCCCAATACTTATTAGCAATTCTACACTATCTGCCACAGTTGTTACTCTTGACATCACAAAGTTCCACATAAAATCTATAGCCCCACCTCTCTATGACCTTTCTTCGGTACTAACTGGAAACATTAAATCACATAAACTAGTGAAATAGTATTTATTACTTAGCAAAGGGCACAGATTGCAAAAAAAAATGATTGAAAGGTTTTTTAAAAATTATTTTAAGAAGGGCTATGGTTGTGGCAAGAAACACACATACCATAAAACCAAGTTGCTACAGATGAACGAATACAGTGCTATTCACTGTTGTTTGGGTAACAGAATAAAAAGAGGTAAATTACTACAAGTCTTGAGCTCCTGCTGGATGCAGCCTTCAAAGCGTAGGCTGCCAGTGGTATCTAGCAGCAGACAGTCTTCCAGCAACCCAGTCCCTGAGCCTTCCCACACAGTTGCTGGCCCAGTCCTGGAATCCATCCTTCAAAGCTGAGTAGTTTGGAGTGGTATGGTCCCCTGCAGATCCGTCCCACCCACACCAAGGCTCTCTGTTCATGACCTTATTACTTAAAGTTTGCATGTCATTAAGCCAGGGAGAGGGTGAGAAAATATTAAAAAAAAAAAAAAACCGAAGAAATTTGCAATCAGGAAACAACAAAAATAAGGGGGATTCAGGGAATTTTGCCTAAAACAGCAACGAAGTTTATTCACTGCTATTTGTATAAGAGAAAAGAAGCAATTGCCACAAAGTGGCAGCACATTTCATTAACCCTTTGTCCCCTCAGGAAAATGCTGTGACCATCAAGTAAGTTCTTTCTAATCAAGGTGATCCTCTGAAAACTTTAATATGTGATGCTTTCATTCCTAATATGAAACGGGCAGCAAAGATGTCAACTAGGGTTCTGAGTTAAGCCTTTTTTATTTCGCTTTCAAGTTTTTGGTTTGAAATACTGTGAATTCAAGCAACTGCCCCATGTAAAATTTTAAAAATACTTTGCAATGTTCAATATAAAAATACGTTGGGGGGGGGGTTATCCAGAATGCTGGTTAGTTTAAATCAGTGAAGTAAGTCAATGTCAGAGAACCTTAGGTGCCAATAAACAATAAAACAATCTGAATTTATTGCAAACTCTCCCCGTAGGTGAACCATAATAAGCTAGAGACAGAAGAGCTTTTCTCCTTGTGCAATAATGAAAGTGTATTTGCTGCTGACATAGTCTCTGGGGAGTTAATTCAAAGCGTTCTAAAGTAACACAAACCCTTCCAATTGCAGCCAGTCTAAATTAATTTCTTAACTGCAATTGTTCCCGAAGGACTCCAATAAAATCAATAAGACTGTTTTACTCAAGCTCATATAGGAAGAAATTAGCTCGAGAACTAAAAGCAACCTCCCACAAGCAACATGTACTAGCTCAAACACTGGAGCAGTCCCCTGGGCTAAGCCATGCGCTGCCAAATTTTATAAAATAAGCGATTTAGGACACAAATTTCTTTGGTGATGGGACCAGTTTAGAAGAAAGCACCCAGAAGCGCCGAGTTTCGTTCAGTTCAACCTAGGGTCTGCAAGACGTCCCACGGAAGGTGACATCCTGGCTATCACGTGCTACAGGAGACAAGCCAGGAGGAGCGGGGGATGGGGGCAAGTCTCATCCCAAATTGCAAATCAAGACCCTCACGGCCCCCTCCTCACAGGACCTTAACCTGATCCTAACCAGGAGGGTGCGGGAGGTCAAGCCTCCGGAGAGCCCGGGGTTCCGACTGTGGAAGACGAAGAAAGGGCGAGCGTCGAGGGCTGAGGGAAATCTCCAGGGCTGCCCCGGAGCCGAGAGGGCCGTCCCGGCGCCCGCCGCCCCCCGAAGGCAGGCGGGGCTCGGGGTTGTCCTCGGGCTCCGGGGTGCTAGGCGCCCGCCCTCCCGCGCCAGCAGCGCCCGTTAGTTCTCTCGCGCCCCGCCCGCCGGAGGGGGTGCGGCCGTCGGCAGTGGCAGTTGGACCGCGCAGGCTGAAGGACTTGGGCTGGTCTCCCCTCCCGCCCGCGTCCCCTCTCGGCGACCCGTCGCGTCCCAGGGCGCTCCGACGCGGGTGAGGGGAGGACCCGACGGCGCGCGAGGCGACTCCGGAGTCAAGTTCTCCGGCGCGAGCCGCGCCGCTCCGACGGTCCCCGAAGCCGCGGGAAGCCCGCGTCCCGCACGGGCCCGAGCACCCTCGGGAGCCGCCGACCAGCTCACCCATCCGTTCGCGCAGTCCCCTCAAGGATGTGCCACCGCCGGCGCGCTCCGCCATCTTCGGAGCAGCCGAGCCGGGAGCCGCTACAGGCGCTGGGGCCCCAGTGCGCAGGCTCTCGCGCGGCCGCTGCGAAGCCGGGGCCGTGGCGTCGTCGGGGGGCGGGAAGGGGCGGGGCCCAAAGGGCCGCCGCGCCCACCTCGGACCCGCGACCGCTCTGCGCTGCCTTCTGCTCATCAAGTTGTGAGCCGCTAGGCGGCGACGACCAGGTGTAAGTAAAGACACTTTTTTACTTCCCCTGCTCTCCCCGCACCGTGCGTCCTGGCGGCCGGCCGATCATCAGCCGGCATGGCCATCCAACATTCCTTTTTTCCTCACTTTACCTAACAACGCAGTACCATTCTTTCCTTCATTCGTTTGTTCACTTATTGAGCTCTTCTTGAGTGCCTCTTGGTGCGCTTGCATCCTGAGTTTGCTAGTCTTTGAAACACGACGCGAAGGCCCAGGTTGGGGGGAGAGAGGTTCCTGTGAGGCTCTAGGGGGCTTGATCACAAGGAAAAATTTTCTTAAAACTGTGTAGACTAATTCGTTACACTGTTAGGTCTCAAAGTTGTGTGAATTACCTTTAGAGTGTCTTTAGGTCTTTAAAGTGAAGGAGAGGACTTACAGATGTTAATCACTCCAGATACATAATTATATATTACATATATAATATTCATTAACGATTCCTATCCAGAATGCATAAAGATCTAAAAAATATTTAAGAAAAAGGCAATTCCCCCCAAAGTGAGCAAAAGGCATAAGCAAGCCTTTCACAGGAGAGAAAACACAAATGGGCAATAAGCATAAAAAAAAGATTCTCAAACTCTTAAGCACTCAAGAGGACACAAATGAAAACCACAAGATACCATGTTACACCTACAGATTTGGCAAAAATTTAAGAGCGGAAAATAAGTGTTGGTGAAGATGTAGTTTAATATTGGTGGAGAAAAATAATACTGTAAATCAACTAGACTTCAATTTGAAAAAATACTAGTGTGTGTGTTTTTTTGGGGGGAGGCAGGGAACCTTTGGCATTATAGTACCTGAAGCCCTGCTCCTACTTGTATAGAGACACCAGTGTTCTGCATGATATACATAATGATAGCCATGCTTATTAAGACACACATGAAAAAAAAAAAAAGACGACACACATGATTAGGACACAAGCAAGGCACATATACCTACACAGAAATTCAGCTTTGATGAATTTATCTGGAACTTCACAAATAGGTCTCTTTTCATCTATAGATAAACCCTTCTTTTTCTCCAACTTCTTTGACAGATCACTGTGAAACATTCAGTAGGTGAATCATTCAACAAAAGCTTTTATGACCACCTACTCTGCGCCTGACTGGTTGGCTAGAAAGAGACAGGGAAGATCCCCTTAGATGTGTCTTTGGGGCTACAGCAGCTATCTAAGGAGCCCCCGCAGGACTGTACGTTTCTCAGAAAAATTTTGGAACTGAAGACTGCCATCTTGGGGACATTGAGTGTGTTCTGGAGCCAACTCACTCAGAGCTGGGAAACAACCCAGGCCACTTAACTTCTCTCCGCCCCTGTTTGGAAAGCCTGTGTTCCCCCGTGAGCAAAAAAACCCTGAATTCCTGCTATTTCTTTCCTGCTTGGCTATTTTTTCCCTTAAACCTGACACCAGCAGGAAAAATATTCAGAAACCACACTCATACTAGTTCTAGGAATTGTCACTTTTTTCTACTAATACATTGAATTCACATGTAATTAACACTGAGTGCACTTATCAAGTCTAACAAATTTGCATTGAAGCTACTACCATCACAGCCCTGTGGGAAGAGTGCTAAGCCTCACAGCCCTGAGACAACTGTCCCTCTGCATCCTAGACTGCCTGTCAGATTCATCTGTCATATACACAGCAGAGTCAGGGCTCTGGTTTTTCGTTCTCTCATTTCTGACTCTTGTCTCACATCTATTGCCGCTTGGCTGTGATACAGGGGGAAGAGTGACGCTTCATTCTGGACTCATCTTTTCCAATTCTACTCACACATTTTCCTCCCTTTTCCCAAATCTGCACTTTTTTTCTCTCTAAGTTACAGGCTCACCTCAGGCTCTGGTCGTTTCTTGCTTGGTTGATGGCAGCTTTCCCAGCTCCGAAATTTCTACTGCAGCACATTGCCCTGACCCCGCCCCCGCCCCCCTCCTGCCAATGATCCTTCAGTCCTCTTTTCCCACTCCCCCCTTCCCCTTCCCTTTGCACTGAGGACCAGGGTGACCTTGCTATTTCCTGGGATGTGGTGGAGGACTGATTCTCTTGTCCTGAGATCACCAGGGTGGGGGGCATGAGCTTCTGAGGAGAGGAAGAAGAGGCCAGCACTGTCAGTTGGATCAGACAAACCTCAGATGGGAAGGGCATCTTGGTAGTGGTGTAATCTGCTAGGAGCAGTAGCTGCATCTTAGAGTCTTAGATACTTACAGGTAAATAGTAACATGTCATTTGTCCAATACTTATACATTGACAGGCACAGTGCTTAAAGTTCTACATGGATTATTTCATCTAATTCTTACACCACTTCAAGATGTAGCTTCTGTTATATCCTCATTTTACAGATAAGGAAAGAGTTAACCTCCCCGGGGTTAGCTCAGTTGGCAAGTGACAGAGCCAGGGTTCAAGGCCATGTATATCTAGTACTTCTTCCACTGTGTCTTCTAATTTACCAGATGACGAGCCCTAGTCTACTTTTAATTCCTAGCCCATGTCTTCACGTCTCCATTGATGCAGTCCCTACACTCAGCCTATTATTTTTTCTGGCTCAGCCTTGTGGCACATGAGATCTTAGTTTCCCCATCAGGACCAGGGATGGAAACCTGAGCCCCCCTGCATTGGAAGCTCGGAGAGTCTTAACCCCTGGACTACCAGAGAAGTCCCTAGACATGGACTTTTTTTTTTTTTATCACTGGTGAGGTCTTCCTAAAACTAAATCTTTTAACTCAAGTACCACTATGACAGTCTCTTAAGTCTTTAATAAGATGGACACAAACTATTCAATAAGAAACCATTGAAAATTGATGTTTAATATATATCTGGCAATAGAGATAAATATGACTTCCCTTAAGCAGCCTTTAGAAAGGCTCAGCTGAGACTGTAAATGCCAGGTACTCAGGGCCGACTTCAAAATGTATGTGTAAAGGAAAATGTGCCACATCTATTTCACTGTTTATCCTGCAATGAATATTTTTTGAATGAATGAAAGAGTACCGAAAGCCTCCACAGTACTGAAGGAGGAAGAAACGAAAATATTTTCAATGGCCACTGGGGTGTTGAAAAGGTCTAGACTGAAAATTATTAAAGGTCAAGAAAATGTCCCTATTTTTTTTGCTTGACTTCAAATAAAGTAGAGTAAACATGGGCTGTGTCTTCTCATTCTAAATAGAGGGCCTGTAGTATAAAGGGAGCTTCAGGGGATGCCCAAAAGCATAAAATATCAAGGAATGCCTTTAAAGACATTTTGGAATTTCTAAAAGAGCTAAAACTTGGTAAAATCCAGATGGGAGAGAAGGAGAGGAAAAGAGGAGTTGAGGTGGTTTATTAAAACACAGATTGCTGGGCCCCATTCCCAGAGTTTCTGATTCTGTAAGTATGATTAATTGTATAACATATACCACTAAGGAAATGTACCAAATGTCTAGTGTGATGTCAAGTACAGCCTGAGTGGTTAATATCATTACACTTTGATGATGATCAATATTTTAAAATTCTAATCCAGATCTAGCATCATCATTACACTTTGATGATGACAAATATTAAAAATTCGAATACAGATCTAGTGTCATGTACATCCTACTTGACATTTGTTCACTAAGGGCAGGCAAATGCTTTTGCTCTAGGGTTCACTGAAAGCCAAGGTCTGGCCAAGGCCTTGGGGTGAACATTACAATGAAGGGAGGAACGTCACAGACCCTGAGCTGCCAGGCAAGGAAGCCTGAGAGCATTTTGTACCACAATTTCCTGAGACATAGTGTGGTGGTACAACACATTGAATAGACAGTTTTCCTTCTCTTCCCCACCCTCACCCCCATAGGATAATTCACCCATATCACACATTCATATCTACATTTGAAAAGGAGCTAACACAGGTATGGGGAAGGTAAAGACATCCAGATCACACAGAGGAAGTGAAGTGCACAAGAATCTCCTCTCCTTGCCACCCAAGAAGGAAAAGTTTCCCAGGGTCAGAAAATGGACTAAACAATTCTATCCCTAACTCTGGCTCTTCTTGAGAATCCCTTTGCAAAACTCAAGTGTTTGTCACTGGGCTGATACCCTTGTGGAGTCAAAAGCTTGCACTGTAAGCCTCATTGTTTCTTCATGGCCAGCTCACAGATCTCTTTAGAAAATGTGTACTCTTAGAGACAAAAGGGCCTGAGAGGGCAAAGGGGAACTTCTGTGCACATGCTTTGAGGCACGTGGGTCTGTGGGGATGCACACGTGGGCAGCCAAGAGCCGAAGCAGGTTTCCAATGGGTTGTCATCTCTCTATGCAGCTGCGCTGAAAGATTCAGTAACATAGAACAAAACTTAAGGGTCAGCTGGACATCCAAGCCCTGGAAAAGAAAATCCTCCAGAATTTTTAAAGTGTTGGGGTAGATGAGGGGGGGAGGTGAGGAAAAGAGCAGACTATCTCTGAGGCCAAGTAAATAGAACATCTTTCCCTGCTCTCAGGGAAAGACACATTCCCTTGACATTGCTTTTCTTTAGATATTAGTGTTGAGGACAGATCATGGAATGTGAAAGCTGGGAAGGAACAACAAGGCCACTACATTGAGTCCTCTTATTCTCCCCTGAGGCTCAGAGAGGCTTGTTGATGCAAGTTCCCACAGCTGATGGAACCCAGGTCTCCCAGCACCCTATCTAATGAACTTTCCTCTGCACACCCGTGAAAGGCTGTCCACACAATCTTTTAGAAGAAGAAGAAAAAAAAACTGAGAATTGCAGTCCCAGTGCTGGGAACCATTATGTAATCCAGCTGGAATTTGACCTATATCCTC